ATATTAACGTGTATCTTTAGTCCCTATTTGTTTTCAAATTTTTTGCACTGTCGAAATTTTTAGAATTGGACCTATCGACTACAAGTGGATTTTGGACTGTTAGGTGTCCGTTTTATTAAATCAATTTCATCAGAATTTTTTAAATAAATAAGTTAAATTTTGATGAATATTTTATTTGCAAATTTTGAAATCCATAAAAATATTTTTTATGAATTTTTCAACTTAAAATTAATAATATTATTATTATTTTATAAAAAATAAAATATCTTAAAAACACTACATTTCGTTATTTATCCTAAAAAAAGGCATTACATTTCACTAAGCAGAAATGGTGATAGAGGAAAAAAAGAAGCCAAGGAAATGGCATGTGAGATAAGTGGTGAAATTCAATTTTGAGCGACTTCGGGCTTTTGTCCATCATTAGTCAAGTTGGAAAAACTTATTCCGTTCAGGTAAGGCCATTATGCCATCTCAAAAAAAAAAAAAAAAAAAATCCCATTCTCAAATTTCAAAAAAGAGCAAGTATAGCGAATTTCCTATTAAAATTTGATCTGTAGCGAAAAATGAGATAAATTTGACATGTTAAAGTGCTTTCACACGTAACTTTCTTTTTTTAATGTTATAGAGAGATTAGAATATAGCCGAATTTTGAATATTTCCTAAATAATTCACCAAAGGTTGAATTTGGCAGAGTTATTATTGATAGAGATTATCGGTGGACTGTCTAATAAAATAGTTTTATTGTGTATGCATAGAAGTCTTTAAAATATTGTCTTATACAATTCCCTAGTAATTGATAGATTTATCTAAAAATGTGTATTTTTCTAGTTGGATTTTCCTATTGTCTGCCGTTATATAATACCATGAAATTTTTGATACATGCTCAGTTTACATTTAATTGTTAATTGATTAGATATAAGAGCTTGTGATAAATTATATATTTGGGAGCCAAAATGCGCCAAAATTATTTGAGATCTATTGTGTCCCGAAAATTTTTTTGGGAGTTAATAGGGCTAGAAACCTTTGAATTATGTCTGAAACAGAAATATATGATATGACTCTAGTGTATACAAATAAAAGTTAGACGTCATAAGGCAAGCATAAAGTAGAGTCATACAAGCTAGACATCCTTTGAGATTTTGTCCTGAGGCCTAAAAATGCTGAATTTGAATATCTAGGAATAGAATTTGCAATTTTATGATTGTTCAGTATGTTATTTTAAATCAGAGAATAACTGTTATGATTTAATATTTTCCTAGTTTAGTGTTCTCAAATTAGTGATTCTCGAGATTTAGTGATTTAATCTTAAACTAAATTTAGTTGCTTTTAAATATTGCAGCAAAATACTTTAATATAAGAAGATATATAAAAATTTAGATTGATTGTCGTACCTTGTGAAGCTGCATGTAGTTAGCTCACTGTGATTTACTTCTAGTTCGTTATGATCTGGAGAAGGGGAAAGAGGTTGTAGCTAGTAATTCATGCGATCAGATCTTGAAGTCATAAGTATTTTATATTTATCGATTTTGTACAATCATAGACCAGTTTAAATTTTCAGTTATTTGAATTCTAGCTTGTAGCGTGTATTTGTAGTACAATATCATTATTTGATGAATGAAAGAAACTTTAATGGTGAGTTTTTCAAGTAATTTGGATATTTTTAGTAGCTTGTGGTTTGTCATTATTTTTAATAAATACTGATCGGAAATATGAAATAATTAAAATTAATCTTTGATTTGCCTGGTTACAGCTCACACATCAAGACACGCTCACTGGTCGGGTTGGGTTGCTGATAGTTAAAGATCTTAAGTTCAAAAAAAATATCGGGTTCTAAGTCGGAAGTTTTAAGATGATCCTTTATTTATTAGGAGTTTACTTCAACATATGCATCGAATTCGATGGCTAATCAACCTAATGTTTGATGAAATATTAGTTCTAATTTCTGGTTGTTCATTGATAACATAGACTTTTTTACATAAACCAAAATATATTTCTTATTAAAATTAACATGATCTATCACATTAAAAGGGACTCAAAGAAGTAAAGATAGGGATGCCATGGGAGATAGAATTGATGTTGTGGTAAAGGAATCCAATTTTTATAGATGTGATTAGAAAATTCTAATCTTAAATATGAAGACACCAACTTTCTTAATGGAGCCATAAATTTTCTTGTACATAAAAAATGGCCCAACATGTAGATATTAGATAATATCTTATTCTAATTCTAACATAAATATAATATGGGATTACAAAAGACTAAATTTTATATTAAATTAATCGTTATTTGGATATCTTATGTGAAATGAAATTGTTACAAATTTTTAAAACTATTGCTAACATATTTCTATTTAAGAAATATTACTATTCTAATCTTGGTGGATTTATATACATATAATTTTTTAATCATTTATTTATTATCTACACATACAAATTTTAAATATTAGCTTACATATACTATATATTATTTTTAATATCAATGACACTCAATATTTGATTATCATCTATATATTTTTTATATCACTCATATTTGATATGAAATAAACTATTGAGTGGTATGTATGTAATATTTATCAATTTTAGATATAAATATATAAATAAAATAGCTATAATGTATATATGTATTTTTTTTTTTTCTTTTGATAAGAGCTTTTTAGTTGTACTTTTCTTAACTTAGCTACAAATTTCCAACCTTCTCGAGGAGTTCTCAAAAGGCTTAGTCGGATTTTGAAATAATATTCATGAAGAAGAAAAAAATCTTCAAGCATGTGGTGGGCGTTCAGCCAATCGAGCTTGGTCACAAATTTTTGAAATTTTGGTCCAGCTTGACTTTGTGAAGATAATTATTTTAGAAATATATTAAATTTATAAAATTAATTTAAAATACACCAAAATGAATTTTAATTTATTCATTGTTTATTATATTTAATCTCACAAAACACTTAATATTTAAAATTTATTCCGATTAAAACTTGTATATACCAAAAAAATTATTGCAATCTAAGATAAATTTAAAATTTAAACTTTCAAAATTAAATTCGGAGTCATCTGAATTTCAATTCAGCAAATTTTTAATCGAATTGAATATCTCAAGAAGAAGGTCAACGACAAATTTGGATCCATTGAACCCAAATTAACCAAATCAAAGACTAAAGCTTGTTTGAAAGCTTAATAGCATTAATTAGCTGACCAAATGATATTCTGAATATTGACATTCTTATAGTCAAATCGACAGCTTTGACGAGACCAATCTAACGAGCCCCAATATCACATAATTTGGCATCATTAATATTTTCGTATGATATGGTTTCTAAATTGCTTATTCAAAAAACTGAATTAATAAAATTTTAAAAAAATGCGCATAAATATTACAAAATTCTAATGATTATACAAAATAAAAATATTATATATCTAATAACTATTTTTAATTTTTATCCAATACTAATATTTTAAATAATATTAAATTAATTATTAATATTATATTTAATTATTGAATATATAAGATCTATCAAATCCATATATACCCAAACAGCCATTTTTCTACGCTCCTAATTTCTTATGTGCCATGTATAAAACCAGCAATATGTTGCTTGTGTAATAATTAACTCTTTGACAACTAACAAAGGAAGAGATAAGAGAGATGGAAGCAAAAGCCGAATTGGGAAGATTTGGAAGGTCTTGAAGAGCATAATGTGCAGGCTCTCGGACAAAGCTGGGCTCAGAGATCCAGAATAGATATGTCAGGCCCGAGAGGAAGGAAGACATAGTCGCCCGCGATGGCGAAGTCTCCGACGAAAGCATTCCGATCATCGATTCGGCACAGCTATTCCGATTCGAGTACTTCGATGAGGAAGCTGCAAAGCTCCACTCGGCCTTAGGACTGGGGTTCTTCCAGAGTTTATCTTTTCTTTCTTATAGCATCTAACTATATTATTATATAAAAATTCATTTCTTTCTTTCTGAATCTTTTTAATTAGCTTTCGAGGATTAATTGGAGAATTTAATCTGATTATTATTGGTTTTTTTTTTTTTTTTTTGATTCCTCGGTCTTATCCATCGTCTTTTCTTCATCTGATAATATTAGATTTATAATAAAAATAATTAGAATTTTCAGAAATGAATCAAATAAAAGAGTAAGGAAATAGATAAATTCATTATGCCCATGCAAATAAAAAATATCAAAAAAAAAAAGTATTTAAAATGATAACATGTTTTATAAAATTACAATGCATTGTGAAAAATAAGAGAAATTATTATGTGTAGACATCGAATGCCGTCCGAAGATCAACAATAATACATCCTGTCACCTCTTCGCTCAGTACTGCTTGATACCGCTCAGTAATGCCACTCGGTACTGCTGACATGGTTGCACCTAATTCACAGACGGAAGCAGATATGTGTCTTACATCCACACATAATAATTTCTCGTAAAATAATATCTTTCTTTCACTCCACGATACCATAATATCATTATTTTTCAAGATATGGAATTTAATTATATTATTTTTATAACTTATCTTATTATCTGAATAATTATTAATGTTTAGTACTTAATTTCTAAATATTATTATACTGGAGCTTATATATTCATTATAAATATACAAATAAACATTAAAAAATATTGACTTTGACTTCATTTGAGATGACTTTCTTAATACTCTTAAAATAATTTTTTTAGTAAAAATTTTGAAGACTCCATTTGGGGTTGCTTAAATTTTTTTATTTTTGCTTCTTAAAGTTACTCTTTCATTTTAAAAAAAAAAATTATAAATAAATTTTTAAAGATAAAAATTTGAAATAACATTAAAAAAATCATCTTCCAAGTACAATATTTTTTACTAATTATTTTTCTTACATAGTTTTTGTTTAATGTTGCCAATGAGATTCCTACTGCCTTGAGCATCTTTGAGCAAGATTGTGAAAATTGGACCGGACAACGAACCAGGTGTAAGAGAGGTTTACTGTTCGATCGGTCCAACTAGGGTCGAACCGAATGACGTAATATATAATAATATTATAAAAAATTAATAAAATTAACTTCACCTCCCTAGCCATTTACCATTAAAATAATAGTAAAACAGTTGGAGAAGGCTGATTTAAAAAAAAACACACAAAAATAACATTAATTTGGTTTACAGATACAAACCAACCAAACTGCTATGCTTCTGAAATGCAGGTTTTCTGGCCTGAAATATCTTTCTGCACAAATCTGCAATGAATGAAGGCGATTCTGCAACATCCAGAATAGCCATAATGTTTTCTGCGACAGCTGCAAGATATCGACCCGGAAGTGGTTGAAACCTCATTTGTGCACTACCGCCTTCCATAAAATATCAAAATAAAAGTTTAGGCGTTTATGCTCTGCATCAAAGCCCTATATTGAGAATGAAAGCAGAACAACTACACAGTTAACCTTAGCCTGTTGGTTGAGAGCTTAAACTTCTAACTAAGAGGTTTTGGGTTTGAGTCTTTGTGTATGCGTTGTGTGTGTGAGTTTGCCTTAAATGGCCTAAATGTCCCCCAAAAAAACAAAACAGAACAACGTGATCATAGAATCTAAGATTTTAGGGTTTAAAAAAATAATTTACATCCTGCGGTTAAAAGGAAGAGAAGAAGCAAGGATGTGCCTGAGACGACCAGCATGATGCCGTCATCGAGTTCACGAACGGTCTGGAGGATGATGCCTGAGACGAAATGTAGGAGATGAACTGCTGGAGACGAACGGGACATTAAGCAAGCGAAATGAATTTCTTGAGCGAATCGAACGTTATTAGGGTATTTTCTGTTTACTCAGTTAGCTGCTGGATCCAAAATCAATGTCTCACATCCGCTTTTTTTTTTTTCTTTGAACCAGGGGGTTCTTTACAATTGACACCGGTTCGCCGGTCTGACCGCCGTTTGGACAGTTTTTCACCTAGTTTGATTTGAAACCCGGCCAGCCGGTTCACGGTTCAACTGGTTGAACCGGCCGGTCCGGTCCGATTTTTAAAACCATATCTTTGAGCATAATATCTCGATAAAGTTTATGTCAAATTGATTTTGAATATTCTTAAATTTGCATTAAGATTAGTGTAATTTATTACATATATTATGTATGCACTAATCTCAATATCAATTAAGCTGGCATATCTTTCCACTTTACTCAAATTCTTAATGGTAACTACAGATAATAAATCATGGTATACCTCAAGATATAATAAACAATCTGAGAGAAGGCATTGAAGAGTTCTTTAATCTTCCATTAGAAGAGAGAGAAAAATTTGCGCAATTACCGGGCCAAGTAGAGGGCTACGGCCAAACTTTTGTTCAATCAGAGGAACAAAAGCTTGATTGGGGAGACATGCTTTTCCTTGCAACACTTCCTACTTCCTTCAGACAATTGAGGTTTTGGCCCACTAATCCATCTTCATGCAGGTACTAATTATTTAATAATCCTTCTTGTTTATGAGATTTATTCTTCTTCATTAATGTTAATATTTTTCAGGAAAAGCATTGATGAGTATGCAGTTGAATTGAAGAGAGTAGCTGATGGTCTACTTCAAATAATCTCCAAAAATTTGGGAGATGAATTTGGAAATGTTTATGAGATGTTTAAGGGGGGAATGCAAACATTAAGATTCAATTACTATCCTCCATGTCCAAGTCCTGAGAAGGTCTTAGGCCTTTCTCCACACTCTGATGCTGTAGTTTTGACATTACTGCTACAAATGAATGAAATGCATGGCCTGCAGATTAAAAGAAATGGTGGATGGCTCCCAGTTAAAGCTTTGCCGAGAGCTTTCATTGTAAACATCGGCGACATCATTGAGGTAATCAAATTAATAATTTAGGATCTGTTTGAGATGACTGCAACATTTTAAAAAATTGATTGTGAAGTTGCTTTAGAGAAAGCAAGTTTGCTACTATGAATATTTCTAAAAAAATAGTGAGAAAGTAGTGTCCAAATGAAATTGTGGTTGATGTCTGAAACATAAATCAGCCAAAAAGCCCTTCCTGTTAACGGCGAATGGCGCACCATGGCGCAAAGGTCCATTTGGAGCCATGGTGCATAGCGCACGGCGCGGCGCGCGCTATTTTGAACATGGCACAAGCTATATAAAAAATATAAAATAATAAGCATGAATATGAAATATTGCGTTTTTGAAAAAGCTATCACAAATAGGGCAAATTATTGTGTCCGGTGTCGCCACATCACCAAAATACACCGGGACCCAGCGTATTTGGGTGACGTGGCGTCACCAGATTGGATGTCGGGACATCCGGTGACCGGACGGAATAATTCGCCCACAAATAGACCCTCAAGTTTATGAGTTCTATATCAAATAGTTAAAAGAGATAAGTTGTGATGATAAATAAAAAAAATAGAAAATTGTTTATAGAGCATAGAATTATAAATCAATATTTCTCAATAGAAATTCTCTGGTTGTTGCAGATATTATGTAATGGGAAATATAAGAGCATTGAGCACAGGGCTGTTGTGAACCATGAGAAGGAGCGGATCTCTGTTGCTGGATTTCATACGCTAAATATTGGTGATTTTGTGGGACCAATCCCAGAGATAGTGAAAGGAGATGAGCTGCTTTATAAGAGCTTGCCATTTGAAGAATATGCAAAGCAGATCTTCGCTAGTAAATTGGAAGGGAAGAGCATATTGGATCGCATGAAATTGGATGAATGATGATAATGATGAATGAAATAGCCATCCTACCTATACAGATATGATTTAAATAAAGAATTTGTAGGGTTTTTTAGTTGGGTTTATTTCACAATAGATGGTAATAAAATTATGAAAGACAGTTGTAAAGATTTAGGCTCATTTAATGTTTCTTAAAAGATAGAAAATATACCATTACTCTATTATATCTTCTCTTCAATCCTTTATCTATCATGTTGAAAAAGAATCTAAGTGTTCATATAGATTTTGAATAAATTCAAATAATCCTATAATGTATGAAAGCTGGTTCAAATATTGATAATTTATGGTTTGAATATGTTGCCAAGATTGCAAATATGTTGATCATGATTGTTCAATCATGTTCTATTGTTTCATTTATGTGTTTGAATATTATAAATTCATGGAATGTTAATTGAGAGGCATTACATTGCTCGAATCAAAAATATTTTATCTTAGTGAATAATTAAAGTTTAAAATGGATAATATTATTTAAAAATTTTAGATAATGTACTTCGAAATCAATCATTTGGATAGAGAGAAAGTCCCTATCTTGCTGCGATAAATTTAAAATTTCAATCAAAATCATACAAACACTTTTTAAATGACGAGAAGAAAAATGTGTGGTGCCTTTTCAGCCACGCTACCTCGTTACGATTGAAGAACATTAAAAACGTGTCAAGCAATAAAGCAAAATTTAGCTTAAATCCCACTGTCTCGATAGGACCGGCTGTAGCTCATGTGAATCGACTCTTCGAAGAGAAGTACAGGGAGAGAAAGGTAGAGCTTGATGGAGAAAAAATTCGGATTTGGGGGATTTGGAGGGTCCTTGAAGGTGGACAGTGTGCAGGCTCTCGCTGCAAATTTGGGGCCAGAGATTCCGGAGATATATGTCAGGCCGGAGAGGAAGGAAGATATAGTCGCCGGCGACGAAGAAGACTCCGGCGAAAGCTTTCCAGTCATTGATTTTGGCAGGTTGTTTGATTCCAAGTGCTCTGAGGAGGAAGCTGCAAAGCTCCACTCGGCCTGTCAAGGCTGGGGCTTCTTCCAGGTCTATCTTTTCTTTTTCTTCTTTTAATTTTTTTTATAGGAAAATTTACATACATACCATTTTATTTCATGCTATTTACATATCTAACACCAAAAATATTAATATTACAATGTATATCACTCATATAAAACTTTAATATCAAATATATCACTCCTATAATTCATTTCTACCATTCATATCATCCTATAAACTTTAATATTTCATTCCATGCACCCAAATTTATTCTATAAGTGATAGACATATAATATTAATATTTTTATGTTAGATATGCAAATAACATAAAATAAAGTGGTATGTATGTAAATCCCCTTTTTTTTTATAGCAGGTAACAAGTCTATTACATAACAGATTTTTTACTTCCCCTTCATTTTGAATATTTTGTATTTTTATGTGAGGATTGATCGAGGAATTAAATATTATTATTATTATTAAATATTTGTTAGAACCAAAGGCTTTCAAACAATTGTCAAAGGGAGGCAGAGGGTGAAATGTGGGTGAAGCTTGGAAGATATATATGAACCAAAAAATATATATGGACTTAGTACTGATATTATTAATGAAACTTAAAAATAAATTCTTAAAGGTAAAATTTTTAAAATAAATAGTGATCATTAATTATAAGACTTTAAGTTCATTTTAGCTTAGTTTTTCATATATAATTTCATACGAAAAAATTATGAATGTTGTATTTTGGGTGTTTTTAAAATTTTGTTCGTTTAATGATATTCAACTTGTGTATATCATAATAAGCTAGGGTTGAGTCGAGTTGAATTCAAGTCCTAGCTATTTTGAGCTCCACTCATCGATCTAATGACAAGCTCAATCTTGAGACAAGCTCATGTATTGAGTTCACTTTTAAGGTAGTTAGAGCTCAACTCATGAGCTCCACTTTGCTAGAGAAGCAACACTAATCTAAAATGTCTAATGTCACTAAACAATATGGAGTCAGATTTGTGTCAAAAATGCTAACTCATTTAATATTCTAATCCAGTTTAAGCTGACTCGAAAACTCAAAATTAACTCGACATTAATATGTTTAGTAGCCACCACCCTCTTTTGCATCAACTAGTTTTACGTACTTGTGTTGACACAAAAAAGATTGTATGAATCACATCTTAAAAGGTATAGATACAGAGTTTGGTGAATTGGGTTTGTGTCGAGTCAAGTTTGAGTCAAAAATTCTGACCTTTATATAAAAGGATTGGATTCAAGTCAAATAATTTGGGTTGGATCAAATTCCTACTAACACCTCTAATCACATGGCATCTGTAAAGATTATTTGATGGTGTGTCTCATATTCTTATAAAAATGAACATAATGTACACATATAAATTTATAAATAAGCATTGTTTCTACTCATTAAGTGGATAATTTTAAGTAAAGGAAATCTAAGATTTGAAAAAAAATAAAAAATTTGCCAATTACTACTAGGCATGGCAATTGACTATCACCAACACCCTTTGACAACAAATGCTAACATCAGTCATCATTCTTCATCCCACATGAGCCATTGATGCATAATGATGTTTATCATTGACTAACAATGATGCTCATCATCACCTGACATCTACGCTTGCCTTACCACATCAACTTTGTTATTAACCAATGTTTAATATCAATTTTCTAGTCACAATTTCCACTTGTATCACGAGACTGCTCAACTTATAATATTCATATTAGGACGTTGGGCAACGGCAAAGTAGGCTATTCATTATCTATCAACTTATAATATTCTCATTGATCGTTGGGCAACACATGTCAATGGTTGGCATTTGATGCCCATCTTTTGGATTGCCCAAAATCTCCCCTCCTAGGAGAGTACAAGCAAGTTGTCCAAAGTGATTTCACTTGCAATATTCCTCATTTGTCAATGTCTGATGCTTGCTAGGGGGACAAGTGAGACGAGCTTGTTCGATCTCCACTTATTAATGAGTTCATAAGTTGAGCTTATTGGATATTGAGATTAACTTGGAGCTCAAATTCTAGTTTATATATTAAACGAGCTCAAGTTTGAGCTTGAAAGGCTTGGCTTATGAGCTAGCTTGATTGGGAACCCTAAATCTTAGTCCTCCCCTCTTTAGGTTAATATTAGTTTGGAAGGAAGTTGCAAGTCTCTTAAACTTTTTTTTCTTTTTCAAATGTGGATTCTCCATTGATGCATTGCCTGCCAAATTGTTGCCATGGCTTCCTCATCATTAGTCCCATCTATAACCTCGAAAACCTCATGCGCATTGAGGAATCATCACAGCTCTACACATGGCGTACATCCATGTGTCAACACCATCACTATCTAACTCATCTTTTTCCACCCACTTGGGTGGGTCTTAAATGGACACCTTGGTTATCTCCTTAATGCCTATTGACCACGATTTGCCTTGAGGAACCCTACAACATGATCCTTTGACGAAGTTACTCACAATACCTAAGTAACATAGATCAATTCGGCCATGTTCTATATCATCCAAGTATCCAACCTCGAATGCTATCTATGGACACATGATGCACCACATCTTAACAGCTCACATTGGGATCGTAGTCTACAAAGGTATGGTGTGTTGGAACATCATTTAAAGACATCATCTCCTTTGACACCACTAATACTCCTACCCCTATAATCTTCTCTCGATCAAAATCAAATGTCCACGGCCCCACATTTGATGGCCTTGACAACTTATCTTGTGTGATAGCCTAGCACACTTAATACTACACGCCATATATAGTTGATACGCTAGCTCTGTTAATGATGTCATCTACCATGTGGCACAAGAAAAAAATGATATGTTGTGGAACTCGTTTAAAAATACAAGAAAGAAGGGGCCAAACACACATGAGGGTATGGAAGATACATGATAATTTTTTTTCATTTTTCTTGATGATAGTCCCCTATAGCTTGAACAATAAGGGCATTCTACTCCTATTTTCAACACTTGTAAATTGTGATGAGTAGTGAATTTTTTTTTGTCGATAGTATAGTGGAGTCATTCAACTAAACTACTATAAAATCTTTAATATTCCCTTTCATGGGTTGATACTTCTTTCTCTTTACTGTTAAATCTCATTGCTCAAAGACTTATTGTGTCCTAGTTAACTAATGGGGGCAGTGCATTCATATCAGATTCTTTCTCTTTATTAATCGTTGACATGTGTGCTCTATATTGCTATTTCAACTTAGACAACTTTTGCTCGTTAAACCTTATTTGTGCCTCATCTCTAATGAGATTTTTCGTCCAATGTTATTACAAGAAACTCTTTATCTATTTTCACAAAAATTCTTACAACAATAGCATAATCACTTACCAAACAATATATAAATCTAATTTTCAATGATATAATTCGAATAATTAAACATACACTATTTAGGGATTGCAAATATAATCTTTTAGAAAATTGAGCCGTACTTAAAATCCCAAAATTTAAACTTTCATAATATTTTGTTATCATAAATATTTACAAAAACTTCATGCATTGAAAATATGCTTATCATTGCAGTTTCCTTGCTGTGCAAACTTAACAAAACTTTTCATTTTCCTTGAATTCAGTGAAGATTTGGATTACAAGATCATCCTTGTCTTTTCTTGATAATGGAATTTAATCTTATTGAGATGATGCAAATAACTTCATCATTTTTAATTTCTTGATCACTTTACTCAAATACTTAATGTTAACTACAGCTTGTAAATCATGGGATACCTGAAGATGTAATAAGCAAACTGAGACAAGACACTGAAGAGTTCTTTAAACTTCCATTAGAAGAGAAAGAGAAAATTGCTCAATTACCGGGCCAAACAGAAGGCTATGGCCAATTTTTAGTTCAATCAAAGGAACACAAGCTTGACTGGGCAGATAGGCTTGGCTTTGTAACATTTCCTCCAAACAACAAACAATTGAAGTTTTGGCCCACTAATCCGCCTTCTTTCAGGTACTAATTATTTAATTAATCCCCCTCATTCACATCATTAGTATATATGCTTCTTTATTTCTATTCATATTTTTCAGAGAAACTATTGATGCATATGCAATTGAGATAAAGAAAGTGGCTAATGGCCTCTTAAAAATGATATCAAAAAATCTGGGACTTGAATTTGAGAAGTTTTATGATATATTCAAGGGAGGTATTCAATATTTTAGATTCAATTACTATCCTCCATGCCCAAGTCCTGAGAAAGTCCTTGGCCTCTGTCCTCACTCTGATCCTATGGGATTGACAATATTACTACAAGTAAATGATCTGCAGGGGCTGCAGATTAGAAGAAAAGATAGATGGCTCCCAGTTCAAGTTATACCTGGAGCTTTGATTATCAACATTGGCGACATCATTGAGGTAATTATAATTCACTGGTGACTAATAGAGTCTGATATATATATATATATATATATATAGAGAGAGAGAGAGAGCCTCTAAATATGTTATATATATATTTGTAGAGAGAGAGAGAGAGAGAGAGAGAGAGACTCTAAATATGTAATATGGTTTATAGAGTACATAGCAAATAAATATTTCTTATCAGTATTTCTCTGGTTGTTACAGATACTAAGCAACAGGAAATATAAGAGCATTGTGCACAGGGCGGTTGTGAACAATGAGAAGGAGCGACTGTCTGTTGCTGCATTTCATTCACTTAATATTGGTGATTTGGTGGGGCCAATCCCGGAGATAGTGAAAGGAGATGAGTTGCTTTATAAGAGCTTGCAATATGAAGAGTATTTCAAGCAGGTCGTAGCTAGTAAACTGGAAGGGAAGACTATATTGGATCACATGAAATTGGACAAATAATTTTCCTACTAACTTATGGAGATATGATTTCAGTAAGGAACTTGTTGCCTCTTTGAGGGTGTTTATTATACCATAAATGGCAATAAATCTATGCAAAATAAACTTATCATATTTAATCACAGTAGTTCTGTATAATCAAATTTTAATGTTGATCTGATGATTCTCCTTTCATACTCATTGGTAAGCTGATAATTATTCCATCCTCTATATATTACTTAAGTTTCCAAGTTCTTACATCAATACTCTGAAAAATATTAATAACAAGCCCCAACTCAAATTCAAAATAGAGCATCGTACTAAGATGAAACAAAGACCTTTTTAAAAAGCAAACTTCAAAACTAAAGATTTGATTTCACTTATGAGTTCAGATTGAAGTGATTCACAAAACTAAAACATAATTGTTTTTCGCAGCATACTGCTGTGACGGTTTTAAAATGTCGTTGTAGGCGATTTATGCAGGCGATTTAAACTACCACCTTTAGAGACACAAAAAAGTCTAAAATTAGTTCTGTAATAGCTCTATTTTCTAGTGTTTACGTATATCAGATGCACAGCTTTTGAGATTGAACAATCTAAAGAGCAATTTGAAAAACAAAAATAATGAACTCTGTCAAATTAAGTAGACTTAAAAGGGCAAAAATAAATGAACGATAATGCTATAATTATTGTGATAAGAGCATATAACAGTTTGTTGAGACTTTGGAAGTACGGAATGAACTAATGGATCAAATAAAGTCGTTATTTATTAATGCATTCGCAGCCAAAAATTGTTTACTTGATTTTTCTTACCTTAGAAAAAACCTTCACCTTCTAGAAGGAGATTTCTATTATGTGAGGGGGCCCTTATCCTGTTCCAGTTATGTTTGATCTGAACGTGATCAGTTCAACCTTAAATCAGTTCTACAGATGATTTCATTAAGCATGTTAAAATGTGTTCAGATTAATTATTATGTGCAGACGCCGAACATCTTATGGAGACCAATCAAAATGTATCACATCACCCGTGCGTTCGGTACCGTGGCTCGGTACCACTCGGTGCCACTCGGTACTGCGGCTCGATACTATTGATATGACGCATTCTGGTTCACAGAGTTCTGTGTCTGGTCTCCAAATGATTTCTCCAGCTTTAGCCTATCTTCTTTCACCTATATATAACTATATAAGACCAGCTATGTATTGCTTATGTTAATCAGCCTCTTGAAGAGTAAGAAAGGGAGAGATGGAAGAAAATTTGGGAATTGGGAGATATGGAGGGTCTTTGAAGGTGGCTAATGTTCAGGCTCTTGCTGAAAAGCTAAGCTCGGAGATTCCGGATAGATATGTCAGGCCGGAGAGGAAGGAAGAGATTTTCACCGCCGACGACGAAATCTCCGGTGAAAGCATTCCGGCCATCGATTTCAGCAAGTTATTCGATTCCGAGTACTCCGAGGAGGAAGCTGCAAAGCTCCACTCAGCCTGTGAAGGCTGGGGCTTCTTCCAGGTTTATTATTTTTCTACTTGTTTTTTTATACCATGTATGTAACCAGCACTAATTTTACAAAAAATTATTTTTTGTTCCTTTTATTCTAAAAAAAATTTATTAGAGTATGAGGATTGATCCAAGAATTTTGAAAATTTTTTAGTATAATTTAGGATCATTGTAATCATTTTTATGGATCAAATATTTACAGTTAATTTTTTTTTGTCAATAGAAATGAAATAATTTTAAGGTGAGAGACTGCTCATATTAAAATTCTCTGTTAATTACTTCTAATCAACTAATTTTAATTTAATCTTAGTGAGATGATTCAAGCAACTGGATCAACTATAATTTCTCAACCCCTTCTCTGAAATTTTTATTGTTAACTACAGCTAGTAAACCATGGTGTACCTGAAGATGTCATAAGCAAACTGAGAGAAGACGTGGAAGAGTTCTTTAAGCTTCCATTAGAAGAGAGAGAGAAAGTTGCTCAATTACCGGGGCAAATAGAAGGCTATGGTCAAGTTTTTGTTCAATCGGAGGAACAAAAGCTTGACTGGGGAGACGTGCTTGCACTTGCAACATTACCTCCAAACATCAAACAATTCAGGTTTTGGCCCACTAATCCGCCTTCATTCAGGTACTAATTATCTAACTAATCATCCTTTTATGCATCACTAATAATAAATCATACGTTTATGCTTATTCATTAATAGTAGTATTTTTCAGGGAAAATCTTGAGAGGTATGCGGATGAGGTAAAGAGAGTGGCCGATGGCATTCTAAAAATGATATCTAAAAATCTAGGACTTGGAGTTGACAAGCTTTACGATATGTTCAAAGGGGGGATTCAGATTTTCAGATTCAATTACTATCCACCATGCCCAACCCCTGAGAAGGTCTTAGGCCTCTCTTCTCACTCTGATGCTGTAGGATTGACAATACTACTACAACTGAATGAACTACCAGGGCTACAGATCAGAAGAAATGGTGGATGGCTCCCAGTTAAAGTTACACCGGGAACTTTTATCGTCAACATAGGCGATATCATTGAGGTAATTATCTTTCATTGGTGATAAATCAATCTAAAAACTGAAGTTAATGAGCTCTCTACTAACAAGCTAGAGGGCAAGTTTATCTCTGGCTAACATGACTATGACAGTCTTAAAAGATGTTGCTTAAACAGTACATGAATATGAATCAATATTTCTTATTAATATTTCTCTAGCTTTTATAGATATTATGCAACGGGAAATATAAGAGTATTGAGCACAGGGCTATTGTGAACAATGAAAAGGCACGGCTCTCTGTTGCTGGATTCCATGAACTAAACTTTGGTGATGTGGTAGGACCAATCCCGGAGATAGTGAAGGGAGATAAGTTGCATTATAAAAGCTTGGAATTTGAAGAGTATATAAAACAGATCTTCTCCTGTAAACTGGAAGCGAAGAGCATCTTGGATCTCATGAAATTGGATGAATAATTTAGCTTTACACAACTAGTAAAGAGATGATTTAAATAAAGAACTTGCAATCAAGTTCATAAGGAGTGTTATTACAATATAAATGGAACTAGATCATACAAAATAACTCATTTCTATTTGAGTTTTATTGTACTATTAAATGGGCTAATGAATTTGAATGAATTAAGTATACTGAATGATCCACACCTGACTGTAGATCTGATGAACGTTGCAGTCAACATGATTTAGCATTGCACTGGATAAAGCCCGCATATTGGAATCTGGAAATAATAACAAAAAAAATAACAGATACAGCAGCACTGAGTGAAGATTTGATGAAACAGGAATCTGTAAAATGATAGGGAACTTTGCAAACTAATTGAGCCATTTTATCAGAACTTTGCAAATTTGATGATTCTGCCTGCATAACTAGTAATGACATTTAAAAACATATCTTTAATTAATCAAAGACAAATATTGTACAGTTTCAGTGAGGCTAATGATCAGAAGCAGACAAACTGCTCAATTTAAAACAATTCGGCAATCAATATTAATAAAACTCCAGTAGTTTAAAATAGCAGAAATAAGATAAAAGTCGTTAATTTTGTACTATATCTCATCCTTAAATTTTCATTGCAAGTGAAATATTTCTTATCAGCCATTTATTTTCTAAATAAAAGCTTTCGTTATGAACAAATTAATCCTATGATCGATTGAGACTTCTACTTACTTTTTAATGCTCAAAGGAATCTATCTATTGTTATTGAAGTTGTTTTGAACTAAACAAACTTGGCTGTCATCTGCCGCTGCCTTCAGAGTTCGCTGACATCAATAATTGATTTATTTTTTACAATGAGTGTTGACCTGTAACTACCAACCGGTCCTCACTAAGAGATCTCATGATCGCACTTAAACCGCTCCCCATGATGTCTCACGACACAAAACACTGGCTCGTCCCATTCTGACTCTCACGCTCTCAGGGGCTGTTTGGTATCAAATTTGCGCCTGGATACAACGAAAATCTGCGTAAATCTGTCTGTACCGAAAAAACAGATTTGTGCTCGTCCTCGCTCAGCCGGCCGTTTTCCTGCACCGGTTATGCTTCTTCGGTCGCCCTCTTGCGAGCAAGCGTTCAAAGAAATGAAGATGAGAAAAAGCAATGGAAACGAAGAGTAAGAAGATACGTCGACGAGGAAAAGCAACAGACCGAAGTAATGGAGAAACGAAAAAATGGATAAGATGAAAAATAAAAACCTACACGGGCTTCATCTGAAATTAATCTAACTTAGTTTTTTTAGTACAATTTAAGTATGAATAATTCATTAGATTAAATAATTAATCAATATTATGATTACTAGTATAATTAGATACTCTAATTTAGTTTAATAAGATAATTAATAATAATAATAATAATGATATGCAATATGTAATTAATATATTTTAAAATACAAATAATTATTATCTACATAATATTATAAATAATTAATTAGTAGTAGAATATTTAAGTAGTTAATGAGATAATTAATAGTATAATTAATAATTAAAACTTATTTAAGTGATTAATTTTATATTTAAATCTTTAACATCTTTAAATCCTTGGATCTATTGACAAACAGTTCCTCAGAATTTAACGAGATTTAACATTTACCATACCAAATAATTTTCAGGATTTACAGCCTTAAGATTTATTAAATTCAGATTTATAAGATTTATTAAATCCCATTAAATTAAATCCAATTCAGTACCAAATATCCCCTCAGAATCGCACGCAAGGAAAGAAAGGAAGCTTACTAGAGAAACAAGCAAAGCCAACCGGCCTAGCTGATCGTCAATCCATGCTTCAGCCTTGACGCGACTACCGATCGACCTCCTCCGTCGTTCCTGGTCAACAATTTGATACCTGTTTTCGAAGCCGAAGAACGACCCAACCTTGCCTTCATTTCCACGCAAGCACCCGACACCAAAGCCGACCTCCTCTTCCATCTCCGGTTGCGACTCCAACCCGACCTTCGTCAGCCCTAACCAAGCTCGCCTTGTCCGACTCCCGTGCATGACTCCAGCCTATGCCCTAGCCCAATCGAGCTCCCTCTTCCTCTCTCTGTTAATATGATGTAGTATATATATATAATGAAGGGTGATTTTCAAACAGGTACCAAGACATGAAATGATTTGAACGAAGCTTGGGGGATGTTAAAGATTTAAATATAAGATAATTAATCGGTTGCGTGAAACAATGATTGTCAAAGACTAATTCCATGACCAAACAACATCCCGAATCCCTCGGCCGTCGATTATCTTTTCGGCTGAGAGGGTTTGAAATGGCAATTGCCTTTCTTACCTCCCTTCGCTAGGAGGATGCCAGAAGACCACCGAAATTACAAATAATCAAAGGACCCTCACATAATTAATTAGAAGAGAAATTTTGTGAATTTTTAACCAATTTGAAATAAAGCAAAATTGATCTAACTCAATTTGAAATTGACTTGATATGTGGTGCATCCAAATTGAGCTTCTTATCATGATCTTGCACTCAATAAGATAACAAAATTACATAAGCTACCATAAAATCATGAATGATACTAACTATATGAGCAAACCATATACAAAGATCAACTGCTAAACAACTTGATTAAAACATTTTTGAAATTATGATTTATGAAAATGAAAATATCTCTCATGTGTCATTTGATGTGAAGTCCTAATATATGATATTGCATATAATGATGAATATGAGAAAGCTTATGTATATTTTAACTTCAAATTGATATCTTATAATGAGCACCTTACTTCAAGAAATGTATACGCCAATCAACTTAAAGAGACTTTTGCTTATTTAAAGATTGATGAATGTATATCTAGCATTTTGAATGGTGGAAGTTCGAATGCTAGCACATTTGTTCGATTTCATGCTTCTCTAAAGTTTTCCAATCCTATTTTAAAAGGTTTAATGCTGAAGAGAAGTTATATTTGACATTGATCAAAGAATAAAGAAATGACATTCCAAAATGTTATCACCATTAATAAGAATATTCCATCTGCTATAAGTAAATTAGCAGCTCTTTCTAGTAGTTGGGATAAATAGGTCTGCGCAAGATGAAAGAGATGTAAAGATTGTTGTTGAATCAAGTTGACAATGTATAGTTACAAGATCATCTGATGCAAGTAACTTAGGTCATAATAATATAAGGAAAAGAATATTATAGCTTTGGTGGTAGATAGCAATATCACAATGATCACACAAGCAATGATCACCTATTGGCCACAATAACCCTTAACATATGTTTGATAGTCTCCTACAAACACAAAATCAATGTGCCATGAACACGACAACTCGATAGCAATATAAGATACAAGTTTCTTCAATTTGAGAGAGAAACTCTCCAATTCTCTAGCAAAGCTTAGAGCTCTAAAGCAAAAACTCTAGATCTAAAATCAGCTTTCAAATTCAAGATCCCAAAGTTAATTATAGCATTAGCAACTAATTAAAGCAAAAGGAGAAATATAAAATCCCTAAAAAACATTCAAATTTCCCTCATAAACACCCATTAAATTAATTACTTGGGCCCACTAGGGTATTTGCCCCTCCCCCTTGGTTTCGCCCCCTGGTTTGGGCCGCTGGCAATAGACGTGAACCGCTACAGGTTGGACCGGTTCCGCCAACCCCTCTTTGGTCGGCCTAACATTACTCCCCTTCCAAACACTCACCTTGTCCCAAGGGGAAAAGAAGGAAAATGTAGCCGCACTCTCTCATATGGCTCCCAAGTGGCATCAAAATCGGGAAGGTACCTCCATCTTATCAGTACTTCTTTGTTTCCTTTTTTGTCAAATCGAACTCCCCTCAGCTCCAGTGGTTCTAACTTCTAAGCTACTTCCAATCCCTCTGTTAGTGTGATTGGCAACTCTGCACAAACAACATTCTCCCCTAGAGCTCTTCTCAACTGTGATACATGGAAAACTAGATGTATGGTGTCGAATGGGGGTAACTTCAAACGATACGCAAGCACTCTGTTCTTGTTCAAAATCTAATAGAGGTCAAAGTACCTCGGAGTCAATTTCTCGTTTCTCTTGTTGGCGACTGATCTTTGCCTGTAGGGCCTTAGTTTCAAGAATATTTTCTCCCCAACCTCAAATTGTATGTCCCTCCTATGTCTATCTGTCGGCTTCTTCATAATTTGTTATGCCCTGAACAAACGTTTCTTCAATTCCTCCAACACCTTGTCCATTTTCTCTAAGTACTGCTCAACTGAATAAACTGGTGTGCTCCCTCTCCCAAAATGAATTAAGTGTGAAGAGTTTCTTATATACAACATTTTAAAAGAAGTCATATGAAATGCATAATGGGACGAAGTATTGTACCAATACTCAACTCATGTTAACCATTTAGCCTACATCTATGGCTTTTAATAAACAAAACACCTCTAATAAGTCTCCAAGCTTCGGTTCACCATCTCTGTTTGATTATCAGCCTAGGGATGATAGGCGGTGCTTCTCATAAGAATAGTGCCCTGCAACCTGAACAGCTCCCTCAAAAATTGACTGAGGTAAACTTTGTCTTAATCAGACACAATCGACTCATAAATCACATGCAGTCGAACCACCTCCCTGATGAATGTTGTTTCCACTGTCACTGTGATGTAAGGTTGTCGTAAGGGGCTGAAATGTGCATACTTACTAAGTCTATCCACCACCACCATAATGACTGTGAATCTTTCTAATCATGGTAGGTCGTCTATGAAATCCATGGACACTTCCTCCCACACTCTATTTGGAAGTGTCAAGGGTTGTAGTAGTCCTGGAGCCATTGCCATATATTTGTTTATCTGACATACTTCGCACCTCGCCGCCATCTTCTCAACATCTTTATACATCTCATTCCAGTAAAGCTCATATACCAACTTATATAGGTCTTATGTACTCCTGAACATCTCCCACTACACTGCCGTGGAACTCTTGTAAAAAGTGCGGAATATATATAGAAGTTTGTGGCACCACAAACCTCCCCTGATACAATAGCCTCCCCATTTCCATATAGTAACCAAAATGGTTACCATTATCTCTCATCAAATCTTCCATGATCTTTCTCAACTCTTCATTCTGCACACTTTTTTCTTTGATATTAACCTATATAGAAGAGGCTAAGAGTATCCATCAAGAATGTTTAACCTATTCAAGATTGCTTGTTAGAGCATTGCTCAATTACGTTAACATATGTGAAAGAAATTAGAAGAAACCACCAAAAATATTTAACCTATTTGAAGTTATTTGTCAGAGTTTTGCTCAATAACATCAACTTGTGTGAAAGTTTGAATTAAATCCTCTTGGAATTGATTATATTTTATTTGAGAGGGGTGAATGTCACGTGTATCCCGATTTTCTTTTTAGATCATTACTCACTTCTTGAATTCAAGGTTAAGACATTTACCCAATGAATAGAAGTACAACCAAGGATTGTATAGAGCTTGTAATTTATTATAAACATAATTACATTTGCTATTAGCTTTATGAAAAATAATTTCCTTATTGTCTTGAATGTTAAATGTAATTGAGAATTGTTCTTGGTCACAATTGTCTTTGATTGCAATCAAAGTTGCTCCCTAGTTAAAATTTATTTCTTGAATATGATGCAATTATTATTGTAATTGAGGAGAGATAAATTGATAATTGTGTGTTGTGGTAGAGAGGTTGCACTTAATATTGACCTAATAGAAGATTATGGTAAAGGAATGACCCCGTTCTAACCATGCTCAAGTTGTTAATCTGAACAACCTTTCGAGGTTGCAGCAAAATTTTCCCCCAATCAAGAATCATTTCTCACAGACGGCGTCAAACCGTTACGTCCTAAAAAATTTGCAACAGTAGAGATAGATATAATTTAGCATCTTAGTTTTACACAAATATATAATACACAAATTGATAAAAAGAATAGAGATGTAGCGTTCACAAGAGACCAAGATTTTTACATGAAAACTCTAAAAAGGAAACAAATCATAGGGTCTAGCCCAATTTGAATGAATCAGTATTAATGGACAAATACTAATGAAACCTTTTCTTGGGGGGCATAATTTTTGTAACAAATACACATTGTATAAAGCTCGTTACATCATAATCATTCTTAAAAGAGTGTTGGCATATATGTTTAGTCAATATGATAATATTTAAGTTATCGAGGTCAAAAAAATAATAGACAAGCAATAGTGGACTGAGAGGACCATAGTCAGCGAGAGGACGACGACGACTATAGTCAGCGCGTGACGATGATGGATTATAATCGACAAGAGATGGTGGTCAGAGTGGATTGTAATCGACATGTGATGGTGGTTAGAGTTGCCATAGTCGACGGGGGATTATGATTGGAAAAATAATAGTCAGAGAATGACGGTGGTCATAATGAACCATAGTCGGCAAGTGACAATAGTCAAAGTGAATCATAATCGGTGTGCGACAATGGTCGAGGTGGACCTTAGTCGGCAAACAACAATGATCAGAGTGAACCATAATTAATAGACAACGGTAGTCAGAATGACCATAGTCAGGTGATGATGGTCGAATGTACTATAGTCCGACGATGATTAGTTGTCAGACGAAAGTCTTACGAAGGTCAATGGTCAGGTAAAAAATCAACAACAATCGGTGGTTTAGAGGTGATCGAGGGGAAGTCTAGTCGCGAATAACGGAGGTCAAAAAAAGATTGCAATTAACGGCAAAAAAAGGTCAGATAACCATAATAGTCATCGGAGTGGTCGTGATCCATAAGCAACGATGGCCAAAAGGGCCATAGTCAACAAGCGTCAATAGTAGAAGTATCATATTAATGGACAAGGATCGGATAAAGGCTTAACGATGGTTGTCAGATTGAGGCCCAACAACAATGGTTGTGCAAAAATCCAATAGTAAAGACCTAATAACAAGAGTTTGCTGGCGATGATGCTAGAGCTTCAAGATGCTTCAAACCTCAAAGTTCTCTTAAATCTATAATCCAATTTATCAACCTCTAAAAGTCCAAGCCCTACCTCATGTAAAAAAGATACAATTTATAAATTTTAATAGTAACATGCCCCATAAATACAAAAAAAACGAAAATAATTATAGCATTTCATCAAATAATCCATAATGATTCCCTTAATCATGAAGCATCAAGCTTTTAAATTTCTTAATGATGTTAGAATTAAACAATCTTGAACTCGTGAGATTCCTATCAACTAGTTGTTCGATTTAACTATAAAAAATTTCATATTTAAATATCATTTATCATTCAATTAATATTTTTAAACTTCTAAATATGCTTTAATCTCTTAATTTGAATACATTAAAGCTCATATTAAATCAATTTTTGTGCCATTTTATTCATTTTATTAAAACGTTCAATTTAATTATAAATTTGCTAAAAACTAGTTTGAATTATCCTAAATTTAATTTTTAAAAAAATCAATTTAAATATACATCAAAACATCCAATCAATACAATTTTATCTGATGAATCAATTGAACTCCTATTTTCAAACAACAAAGCCCATAGAATTTGAAAATATGTTAAATGCTTGCTAAAATATTGTAAAATAATATAATAATTTTTATATGATTACAAGGCATAACCGCTCACAGGATGTCAACATGGACTTTCCTGAAACCATAAATCAAGTAAAAGATCCTTAATTAAAATTTTAATATTCCATTAAATCAAGATATTAATTAGAGAAAATTTGTTCGTTAATTTCTCTCCAACATTTTAAATTTGCTTTAATCTGATTATGAACATTAAAAAAATTGAGTCTAAAATACCAATTAAATTATCTTTCTTCATTATCTTATAATTAATTGCTATTTATACCATAAGCACATATAATCCGACAAATATTTTATTAAAACAAAAAATTTTAATGTCAAAATATTATTAAGACAAAAATCATAAATGACTAGAGCAAACCAACATAAAAAAAATTCCCAGCACAGCAACTTCAATCAAAAATAAAAAATAAAAAAGATAAGAAATCACGGAGAATTACCAAAAGCTTGATCACTTAGAACGCGCTTACTTCCTCTAACGGAAATCTCCCAATCTCCCTTCGGCACAGTCACAACACTTCCCGATAGACAGCCCTAATCATAACACATGCATCAGGTTAAGCATGAAAACGGAGATCTGTGGGAATTTCTTGCGGGCATTACTAAAACAATAGAGGATTGAGGAGATTGAAAGCATTAAAAATCGAAGAAACTTCACAATAAAACAATTTTCCGGCGATCAGAACGTGTCGGGATTCATATGCAACATCACGATTTCATCAATCAGTGGATTGACAGACCATGAATTTCCTCATCACCTCGCCCGCTAGTTTGGGAGAAATAACGCAATAAATTAATCAAACAAAACCGCTTACTTCGCAGAAGAAATCAATGTTCACAGAAAACCATATAAGGAGGAAAAAACATAAAAGAGTAGCAAAGCTCAGAACTTCTTAGAGGTTTGTGATGCCATCATCGGCGAACTACCATCCGCCTCCGAAACACGGATCTTATTTCATCATCGCCATCCACTCCTTAAAAATCAAAGCACATACAGATTCAAGCTGGAGAGAAAAATAAAGAGAGAGAGAGCGAGAGATTACACCTCAGCTAAAAGTGACGAGGAAACGGAGAGCTCGAAGTTTCTTTTATAGAAGTACACCGCCGCTGAAAGGGTCGCGGAAACGGCGTGCTCGAAGTTTCTTTTAAAGATGAAACCCTAAATTTGCGTGAATGCATCTTGGCCGTTAAATTGTATAACTAGAAAGCTTGGCTGGTTATCTGCCCGATTTGATACAATCAACAGCATAGACTAAGCCATGGCATTAATTTTCTTTTATTTTATTTTATTTTATTTGTAAATGGGAATTAGAATGTGAAAAAGGAAATGAATATAATTTTTATTCAATGAAAAAAATGTTTGATATATGAAGAATTTAATTATTCTATCACAATTGGCAAAAAAAAAATGCTTTGAATACACTTTAAATAATATTTAAATTATTATTATTTTAATAAATAAGTTTAAATAGTATTTCTTTTACTAATTTGTGTGCGTAAATTTGATTAAAATTTTTGTTCAATATTTTTTAACTAATGATTATAATTGGTAGTTAAATACTGCGAATTTGTTGAGAGAAAAGCTCATCATTAAATAAAAAATAAATAATAAAAATTATTATCATTGAATTAAGAAAGATTTCAGTATACTTCAACCAAGAAATAGCAACCCGAGACAGAGAAGAATAATAAAAATTTAAAACCTATTCATAAAATTAAATTTAATATAAAATAATTAACTTAGTAAATTAATTTAATATAGTATATTCTATTTTTTTTAATGAGAATTAAAATTTTATAATAATCATTTTGTCAAATAAATAACAGCTAAATAATTTTACAGGATCCCATCATCCCATGTAACTTATTTACTTATGTGAGCCAAAATAATTATATGAACAATGTTAATACATAGTGCTAAGAAGATATATAATTCAATATAAAAAATGTTAAATTTATAGAACATATATATATATATATATATCATTTAAATAATTTCAATATTTATTATTTTATCTTATTCAACCTCCATTGAAATTTTATTTTGAGAAAATTTGAGGGCCTAGCTCAATTTCATTACTATTAGAAGATAATTAGAAAGGTTTGAGACCAAGGGATACTCAAGAGAGTAAATACATATAGGAATTGCTAGCAAACTCAATATACAAAGAAAAATAAAAAAGTATAACCAAGATTGCCCAAACAAAATAAGAAGAAAAATGGCAAAAACTGGCATAAAAATAATGCTAGACTTAGAAGATATAAAAATACATCATAGATTCTATTTAAGCGCAGAAATCATACTAAGAAATACCCGGTTGCATGAGCAGAAAATGCAAAGACCATCCAGGGTGAGTTTGGAGTAGGGGCTAATAATCATCATTCAGAACATTATAAAAATCATGAATATACAATCATCCCAGTTGTTGTGAGAGTCTCTAGGTGTAAACCCAAGACAAAGGTATATCAAGTAATCTTTGAAAACATCCTAACTTTTTCCATTTTGATAGCTTGAGAAAGCAACATGTTTTACTTCTCATAAAATAGAGGACTGACTTTTAATATGAAACACATATTTCTAGAATTATACTCCTAGAGATAGCATGTCAAGCGGAAAGTTATTAAGTAAAAGCCATTTTTAACATCAACAGTAATGAAATTAGGGCCATGGATAAAGTCAAGCACTTCTTCAATTTTAAGGGGCAACACAAAGGAGGAGATAAAAGCATAATAACTAAAAAAAACATGACATTCGAAAAATAGATGTGCAATACTCTCCATGTAAGATAGGTAAAGGTCACACATAGGAGGAACTTAAATATTTGCAGGCCGTCTTTCAGAGCAAGCGAACCATAAATCGAAAAACGGGTAGAGTGCCTTTTGTGCCAAAGATGTTTGTATCATGAGAAGGGAGTTGCATTTGAGTAAATAGAAAGAATAAAAGTTTTAATCCTCTGCTTGGCTTGTCCTTTTGAATAGATGCATTTGGAATAATCATCATGTATGGTAACATATGTAATGCTCTGCCTAAAAGCCTAAGGAATAGAATGGGGAAGAACCCATTCCTTGTTATCAATAAAATTTGCCACTTAAAAAATGAGGATTCACTAGATATGCAATGTAAGAGCCACCCCCAAGCCAGCTAAAACATTGTCATTTCACCAATGGTCTCATAAAAAAAGAAAAAGTATAGATGTCTACCATTTTGAATTCAATAAGGTATTTTATCAAGTTAGTCGACTTTCTAATATTTTTCCCACCATTTAGAGGCACTAACCAACTCAAATTCCAGATAGAGAAATATCCTTGCTTGCAGTAACTGGTGAGAAGAGTCTTTGGTGATGTGATACCAAATAGTCATATCATGTTGAGACAGGTCCTATCATTTTGGCTTACAACAAACGAATATTAAGATCTATTAAAAAAAAAATCATATTTCATCTTCGAATTTTAAACTTTTAAAATTGCAATAGACTACAAAACAACTAAAAAATATCTAAAATGTTGAAGTAAACTCATTCACAAAATGTCTTTTATTTCATCATCAAAATATATATACATTAGTAACACTACAGTAAATGACTGCATAACAAGGAAAAGAGCTAAACATAATAAAAGCTAGCCATGATTATACAAAAATGAAAGAAGATTAATACCTATACAGACTTAAATCATGTCCTAAATAGCTATTCAACATTTTCATTCCTTTTCTCAGACCCTGAAAATAGAATAAAAAATCACATTGAGCTAAAACAACTCAACTAATCATAAATATCGATCTAAATTTTCAAACATTTATTTTATTAAATATTTTCTTAAATTATTAAATGCAATATAATGATTCACTATATGGAGCGGAGTAATAAAAATATTACAGTTATCCAAAGATTTAAATACTAATATTGAGCAGCTAAATAAATTTAATTTTATATGTCATATATTTCATAGAATAGAATATAATAGATACCCCTCTTTTAGATATAATCCAAAATTCTAGCCACTTATGACTCCCAATAGATAGAATTTTAGATATTTTCATATTCAGATTCATGGTTTATATGACATATTCTCAAAAGATTTCAACCCCTTATACATCCCAATAGATATTTTTCATATCAAAACTCATCAATTCAATTAATATAGCATATTTTCTTTCAGTGTAACCATTAAAGCATAAAGAAACTCAGTGCATAATTTCATTACTTGTTATAGCGATAGGCAACAAGAAATACTACTGAGCATAAATTCCTATTTTTTTAAATATAATCAAATTAGGAGAGATTGAATATAATAATATTTCAAATTTTTAATTGTACTACAACACTATTTTTTAGAGTCTAGATTATTTTCGATTTCATTAAAAAGGTGCACATTTCAAAAAATCCTATATATATAAAACTTCCATAAAGTATTCAAAATATTTAGAATCTCATTATCTATAACATATAAAAAGTTATGCATTAAAAGTTTTATTAGTCCAAAGTTATTCTCATTTTTTATACTAAAAATATTAATTTAATTAAAAATTTAGACAAACTTATATTTTTAAAAATTGTGATAGACATAATGTGACTTATTTAAATCTGAACAATTTTCAAAGTTGGATCGACTACTAAAAATGACCCGAAGCAACTCAAATCCCTTCCTTTTATCTCTAAAATCCTCCTTCCTCTCTCTCTCTCTCTCTCTCTCTCTCTCTCTCTCTCTCTCTCTCTCTCTCTCTCTCTCTCTCTCTCTCTCTCTCTCTCACACACACACACTTGGCTGCAAAAATGATCGAATGAATGGAATAGTAGATTTCAATATATTTAAGTGCAAAAAATGGCCAGTGCACCTTGGGGGGGATTTTCAAATTTCACCAATATATATACATTCAGATTCCCGAAACTCATCACTTTAGAATACTTGCAAGCTTCTCAAACACATTGAAAATAGTTCAAAATATAGAAATTCAATCATTTACCTATTTTAAATAGAGTTAGAATATGTTAAACTAAATATTGAATATGAAAGTTTCACAATTAATTTCATAACCTAATCCAATAAGACTCACATGCATAACATGTCTTATCGTGTTGGCTTGTAACAAGCCAATATAAGATCAGAGTTTTGAGAAAACTATGAAGATTTTCATCTTTTTATTTTACTTTAAATAAACAACAGATTGCAAAGCTGGTAATAACTTTCAATATATAGAAAATAACTCATTCACATTTTTTTCATTACTCATCAAAATGTATACAATGTATGCACTACAGTGCATGGCTATAGACTAAAATATGGAACAGAGTAATTTCAAGAACTAGTCATGATTATACAAAAATTATAAAATAAATACTTATATAGACTTAGTTAGATCAAATCCTCACTCCACTACTAAACTAGATCATTCCCTTTTCCAGATCCTAAAATAAAATGTATATAAACTATCACAAACCAACCCAATATGATCCACAAATACTAGTCATACTGTGTTGGATGATGACAGAACATTTTCTTACTTATTAGGTGAATTTTTTTAAGAAAATATCTAAATGTTTAGAACTGTTTTATCTATAGTATGCAAAAGTTTACATGATGAAAGTTTTGCATATATCAACTTATTCTCATTTTTTGCTAATAGAAGTATGATTTAAATTAGAAAATTCTAGAAATTCTTGAATTTTTTAAAATTTATATCAACAAAATGCAACCTACCTTGAACTAGGCACCTTTTAGAACTGGACCACAGTTAAAAATAGACCGAAGTCCCCTAAAATTGGATTTCTCTCACTAGAATTCCTTCACACACTCTCTCTAATTGGCTACCTTCATTAGGTGGAAATGAATAAAATAATAAAAAATGATATTTTTAATATAAAAATTTGATTGTATGTCATAGCGCCCAATTATGCATGCCACAACCTCCATTTGGGAGCCCATGGTGTCACAACGCCACCACCAGCACTGCAACATGAATTAATTGCCAAAAAGACTGAGGGCTCAACATCACAATGCAACCTACACCGGTACTGCGATGCCCTATGGAAAAAAAAATCAGATTTTTAGAACATGTAAATAGCCCCTATGGGATCCACTTTAGAACACATGCATGCAAAAAAAATCATATACTCATATAAAGGTATTCAAATGCAAACAAAATTAATGGATTACCTTATATCAGATCAGGTCAGAACAAGTGGAATGGTGTGCTAATATGTAGGTGTTATAATTGAGAAGTTGTTTGTAGTGGTTGATAGCATCAATCACAATATGATCAGTATGATTAAAGTTTCATGATTGCTATTCAGCTCCCTGATAAAATTATAATTTCTCTTATTTCTGATTAATACAAAAACTTCAAATCTTTTTCACCTTTGGTAATCATGTTAGTTTTCCCTCTTTGAACTATCTAAGAGTTAAAAACACCATAATAAAAAGCAAGCTTGTCAAATGTAGCCTTAGATTTTAAAATAAGCTCTTTGTTATTAGGCTAAACATTAAGAATAAAAAGTCAATCCTGGCGTGCTCTTCCAAGTCCTTGATTTTAAAATATGGGAAGTTTGAATAATTCCATTTTTTGGATTTAATGGATGTTTTAAGACTTTTGAGCTTATCATAATGGAAGGAGATAAGATTATTAGGGTGTTGATGGAAAAAGTTTGAATTTAAGATCTATCATAAGAGGGAAAATTTGCACCAATAATTTTTATTTTGGAACCTCATATGAATAGGATGCCACTGATCAATATAGAAGATCAATGGATAATGATTAAAACTCTTTGGATTCTGCACTTTTATAGAAATAAGTAGGGAAAACTTTCATCCATAAATCATTAACAAAGGAATATGTCCAATTTGATATAAATAGGGTCATCAAGCTGATTGTTGAACCAGATGAGTTTTTGCCTTACTAAAGCCAAGTCAATAAGGCCATTCTCAAAAATCATATCTTTACATTCCCATAATTAAAGCTAGCACCTTAACACCTCTACATTTTTCATTTTAAGATCTACAGTAATTAAAATCACCCAAAATAATACATGAAAAGGTAGATGAGGATATAACAGAACTAATTTTACTAAAAATTTTCCAGAGATGACTTCTTTCAGAAGTTGAATTGGATACATACACCATAAACAAAGTAAATTTCAAGTGGAAGCCCATAATAACAGTGCCATAAATGAGCTAAAAATCTTTAAAAGAAGGAGAAAAAGCTAGTATGAACTAATTCCATTTGATCCATATCTGACCTGGAGTAGCGTAAGTGAAGTTGTTACAACTACCCTCATTGTGAAAAAAGGAGTGAGATGAAGGGAACCACTGATTGAATGCTTGAGAAGGATTAATTTTAGCTTTGAATATATATTAAGAAGGTATAAATTGAAGGCTTTAATAAATATTCAAACAATTATAAACCCTATCAATTCCATCGAAGCATCTTACACTCCAAAAGGCAAAGTTCATGTTTGTCATTTTGATTTGGGAGGTGGGTAGGTTGGCTTTTTGGCCTTATTATTAAGATTGTTTGTGGGTTATCTTAGGTCATTGGTTTTTAGAATTTTTTATAACTGGGCCTGCAAATTTAGGGAAGCCTCAATGAAGTTTTCCAAACCAATAGAAAGTATGGAGAAGCTACTTTAAAGGTGTTACGTTATATCATCATTTATAGTTATTTGTAGGTCAGAGGATAGTGTAGGGTCATCAAGAGGATTAATTAGGTTAGGTAGGTGCTTTGGCTGAGCATTTAGAGGAGGAGGTGGGTGTTTCGTGGATAAAGATGTAGAATATTTTGCAATTATGGATTGATTTGAATGGATATTTTGTTGAGGAGGGTTAAAGTTTGAAGCAAGTTGATGGGTCTAATTTGCTATTTTTTTTTCTTGATGGGTGTTTAATATGTTGTTTAGGTTTTCTACTTCGACTCCTCCCCATGGACTGAAACATCATTTCCTAGGATAGAAAAGGGTTAGAATGGCAGAGAATTGGTGGATGCAATAATGACTCAGAACAAGAGCAGGCCTAAGGCTTCCAATCATATATTATACAAAGAGATTGGGTTTTACTAGAGATGATGATGTTGACTCCATCTAGAAGCATAGAGTTTCTATAAATTCATACACACACTCTTGCGAAGGTTAGCCTGGATTTCTCGATAACAAGAGACTCCCCTGTAAGAGGGGGACCAAATAAGCTTGCTATTTTGGAAACATCATTAGGGTTCCAATAAGAGAGGGGAAGATCAATAATTTTAATCCGCAATGAAATAGAGAAGAACTAGTCTTATTTTTAGGATGAAATATACAATCCATTTTTCTTAATGATAAACAATTTGCAAAAAAGATCCAAGGACCTCCATTCCATACCATGTTACAATCAGTTGGAGAAGAGAACTTGAAGAGAAAAAATCCTTCATTAAGGGAGATTAGAAATATGGTACCTTTTAAGCTGCCAAACTTTCTTAACGGCGTACAGGAGAGCCTTGAAATATGATCACATGCATATAGTGCACCAAACGAGCGAAATGTCCCATTCCTTGGCACCTTTATGAACCTTTTCATCAGAGAATTGAGTAATGTTGTACACAGGTTGTACAAAGTCGAGGGGGAAGTCAGTAGCGGTAGGGTATTTTGAGGTAAGCATATTTTTCCAATTTATGGATGTCTCGGCCTATAGAGGAGATGAGGCAAATGATGGGGGTTTAGTAGTTGATGCTGATAGAGGAGAGGATAAAGGTGAAAAATCTAAGGTCGAAAGGCTACCATAGAGTAACATCTTGCAATGCGATGCCACTTGATGTTTATTAAATGGATTAGAGAGGGGGAAATCTGGATGAGGAGATTTCATAAGATGAGAAGGAGAAGATAATAGGTGGCCTCCATCAGCGCCAGAGGCAAGGGATAAGGAGGAGAAAACAAAAACACTAGGAAAAAAGGAGCGGTTAGGGCGTCACCTCTCCTTTAGGACGACTCATCTTTCGCAAATAACTCACCTCCATTGAATTTGAACCTCTCTCCTTATGTCCCTTCTGATTTTTATGTTGGCAATGCAAGATTTTTTTTTCCATGTATTTATGTTGGCAATGCAAGTTGGTCGTAATTTAGGCATTATTTAGGGTAGCCTTTAACATCTATTTTTCGAATATGTTAAAAAAATTATTTTAAAAAGTAATAAAAAATTATTCCAATGAAACTTAAGTTTCATTTAAGATAAATTTTGATCATTACTTTTTCAAATTTTCTCAAAAAAAAAATTATTCTAAAAACTTATTTTAAAAAATAATAAAAAAAAAGATGTTCAAAAACTAAGCATCAAACGATCTACAAATTCCGCGCTAAAAGTCGGTGCAAATAATATCAACGACCATCCGAAGCAGATCAACGGTATTGAACCATATTTCGCTGCGCTGCACGCTCTTTTGATCTGTCTCGCGGGGCATCTCACGTTCCAAAAATACCCCCGTACAATATAACACGTTTTCCTCATCAAACGAACTTCAGCCGTCCGATTGCCGACACATGGCCTATCAGAACATCAAGCCGTTGTATATGGCAAGGTAACAGAGGAAGGGAATATTCTCCGTGAAGATCTCGGCCCTCGGGCTGGAACTCCAGGAAAGCCGGAATAGAAAGAAAAATCGACAACCCCACTTTTCTCTTCTTTCTCTCACATCCATTGAGAGAGCGCTATTTATTTGTGAAGTCACCGGCCATATGCCGCCGTAAACCCTCTTTGTTTACTTTTCTCTCCTTCTTCGTGTTTTGCTCTTTGCGTGTTTAGAATGGCGTCTTCGGTGGAGATAGGTGGCCTGAAAACGGGAATGCCGCCGGCCGGAGGGGGTTGTGTTGGGTTGGCTTCCTCTCGGCATGTAAGCTGCGCGATTCGCCTGGCTGGAAGGAAGTCACGTTCGTCTTCTTTCGTGCGGAGAGGCCTGGTGGTGAGATCGGAGCTAGTGATTGAGCGCGATCGGGTTGGCTTTGCAGCAATCAACGGTGTGGCGAATCTGGTGAGATTCTTTTTATTTTTGCTGCTCTGGGAGGATCGAATCTTTTGTTTTTGGAGTTTAGGGGTGGGTTTATACAGCTTCGATATAGGTTTATGGATTGTTGCAAAGCAATTTTGGTAATCAAGAAATTTTATTTATATTTATGTTTATTCTATGTTGCATGAATGCAATATATTAGGCAGAAAATTTGATTAAAATGAGCAGCGCTTAAGGAGAATAAGCAAGTTCTTCTAATGGATGCACGGAGATTATATAATTCAGTAAATTCTGTTAAATTTATTTTATCCCAAGTGCTTTTGGGCTCTTAAAAACAGCACTTGAAGGTTTATTTTCTTATTTCAACAAAATGATTTCTGATTCCTTTTTTTTAACATGACTATTAATGTTTTGCTGCAAAATATGCAGAAAAATCAATTTAATATACTTCCCTTTTTTGCAACTCTTTCTGATTATTTTATATTTCATCAGGAGAAAAAGAATGCCTCCTATGAGCTACAATCAGGGGATGACAAAGATAGAGATATGCAGATGCTTCCAAATTCTCTAAGGAAAACAAAGATTGTGTGCACAATTGGGCCTTCTACAAGTTCACGTGAAATGATATGGAAGCTTGCTCAAGCAGGAATGAATGTTGCACGGCTGAATATGTCACATGGAGATCATAAATCACACCTGAAAACCATTGATTTGGTTAGGGAGTACAATGCTCGGCACAAAAATAACGTTATTGCCATTATGTTGGATACCAAGGTACCTAAACATTCTGCAAAATCTCCTGAAGCTTTTAACAGTTTTTTTCTTCTGGCTAATTAATTATGGTAGTTGGTTTATTCATTCTTGCGGCATATCTGTTTCTTAAACTAGAAGGAGAATAAATAACCAACAACCAGCAAACTCTTTTGAAAGGCCAAAAAATATTCTCACGTTGGTTATAAAATTGATGAAAATTGCTATTTACCTGACGTTTGAAGCTGTAAACTTCATTCAGGGGCCTGAAGTTAGAAGTGGGGATGTAGCTCAGCCCATTTTACTTGCAGAAGGTCAGGAATTCAATTTTACCATAAAAAAAGGAGCCAGCTCTGAGAATACTGTCAGTGTGAATTATGATGATTTTGTAAACGATGTGGACGTTGGAGACACCATATTGGTTGATGGTAAGTGTTTTTCTTATTGCATACCTCTGGTTGAATTTTAATTCTCCAAATCTTAACTTTTACTGCTGAGGATTGCATGACTAGCTAGATTCCTTATTGTTCATTTTAGATGTTACTTTGGTGTCATCATCAACAACAACAAAAATCTTTTTCCTACTTTTTAGTATAATCTATGAATTCTCATTCTTCACTCAATTTTGTTGTGTTAAATGTGATGCTAACTCTAGTAATTGCTTTTTTTTTTTTGCAATTTTGAACCATCTTACGTTTTATATTCTTTATTAATTTTATATTCCTTTCACTCTAAATTTATCTATCGATCTTATTGATTCAACTTGGATGAAGTGACAGATATTGAAGAAAAGGCAAGCTGAAAATATGCTTAAGATATTTGTACATATATAATGAAGGGTACAAAATCACTCATTAGAGAGGTAGAATAAAACTAGTGTCGAAGCATCATGAAGGAAAAGAGAGGGGCCTATGGTAACATGGTTAGAAGTTGTTCTAACTTTAACAAAAAAAAAAAACTTTTTGGATTTAGGATATATTTTTGGCTAAAACATTTTTTACAATGGATAGTTGGATTTTCTTTGTCAAAAAAGTTTGGGAAACTCTAGATTTGAAGTTTAGGAAGCTAGCTAACTAATGCGGTGATTTAAGATTGATTGAATGTGTGATTAGAAAGTTATGAGTTTTCGCTTTGAACTGATCACAAAAGGTGGACAATAAGATTTGCGTTTTTGTGAGGGGAATATGACTCAATTTTGAAAGAAGTTAAAGGGTTTGAGGTCTTGGGAAGATAGTGAAGATGAGGGAGAACAATTTTAAAGGGATAAAGCTTTATATTATAATTCACAAATCTTACTTATAATTGATTTACAATCAATCCAAAAGCTGACAACACAAAATCTTGTAGACTCAAGTTTGCAAGTGATCAGAATTTTTTTTTTATTGAAGTAATGGGCGTATAAAAAATGAACGAAGTGCTTTAAAAAAAAAGCAAGAAACACTAAAACACACCATAATTTCCATAATTCCCTCTACAGTAAATCCCTCCAAGACATATGGCCGACACCCTCATTGACTTCAATTTTGGAAATTAAATAAACCACTCATAATATGGATGATTGCCATTGGAAATTTTCAAGTTAGGTTGATTGACGAGTTTCAAAAAATATGTTTAAAATAGATAGCATTCACTCCAAACTCACGTGACTTGCTTGTCAAAATTCTAAAAAAAATGAATAAAATTAATTATAATTATTTTTCATGAAATTGGGACTTAGTCATTACTAGTGATGGTCCTTCTTGCTTATCCTACATTGATTGTTGTGTCCAAGAAATTGACCCCTTAAAGGCACCTATAGTTCGCTGCTTATTTCAAGTTCCGTCAGCATGGTCATGTTATTAGGCAATGTACTCCATAACCTTAGTTAGTTCATGGGCAACCTATGTCTGAAGATTATTCCACTAATGCTAATGCTCTTTTTTGGGATGTTGATGCCATGCCCCGAGATCTAATGGAAAATTAAACTTAACCTAATTAACTCAACCTCAACTTTACCTATCAGAGCCAGCTAATCATTTAGAAATGCAGAGGTAAAAGATACACAAATAAACGAAATTCATATTACTTACAAAAATGACTATATATAATAGTAAAAAATATTTGTAAAACATCAAAATACATAATTAAGAACTGGACTATCAAAATAACACCTCTACCGAACTAACTCCTCCTGATCAACTTCTACTCTACTCAACTGGACATTTCCCTTTTTCTGAAATAATATGTAATTCACTATGTGAGAAACTACTTGCTCAGTAGGCTTTTCATCCTTTACTAAAGCATTCAATAACCTTTACTTAAATAACATGAAAGAGAATAAAGTAAATGCTAAGTTTATATCTTAAGATTATATGATAAGTGTGAAACATTTTATTTGTAACATATTTTTAGTGTCTACTTACTTTTTAACACATATATGAGTTAACATATCAGTATTGTACTTTCCTTAACTTGTAAGCAGTAACATATAAACTTGCATATTATATTAACTTGATTAGTACTTAATCTCGTATGTATCAACAACATCAACTTATATTCACTTGTACGTGGCTTTAGAATTGAACTTTAAATTTGTACTTGATTTAAAAATAGAACACATAATGTAATACAACTTATGAAAATATAATTTATGCACATATCTCGTTGTCCGCTTATAACTTTACTTTCACATGATCAAATTTCACATCTATACAAGATAGATGGAGACATATCTGATTCCCCTTATAATTTCATTTCTACTTATAACTCCACTAGATCATCTCTCTTCTGTGTAATACAGAAGGAGGACACCTAAACATGAATATGTAAGGGCCCTTGAAACATTATTTGAACCCGATAATCTCCCACATTTTGCACCCGATATATGAACATGCAAAGCAGCAACATGTAAGAATGAAACATAACATATTCAACATTTATACTTAACTTCTAACATAACGCATGTACAATATTTCACAATATACATTGGGGTAGAACTTGTACATATCTTCAATAATGACATTTCATAGAAATATTTAAATGGGAGATTTATAACATCATTTTGAAGATTTTATTGAATCATAACACTTTCTATTAAAATCAATATATATAATAAAACATATGAAAAATCCCACACATTTGAAACCAACCAATGCAATTTTGAATTTAACCAGTCAAAATGCCCATAACTACATACTCTATAGCATACTAAAAGTTACATGGAGAAAATTTTTTTAAAACTTTTTAAAATTAATTAAACCCCGTAACTTTTATTCATTTTACCCAAATTGAAAACTAAACTAAAGAAATGGAAGCCTATCTCGTGCTCGACAATATGAATCTGGCTTCGCGGCCTCCAAAACTCTCTCTTAATTTTTCTCTTCTCCTTCTCCTTAGATGACAACTAAGGGTGAGGGAAATGGTGAGGGAGTAAGTTTTAATGGTTTTAAAAATTTATATATAAAAATATTGTTTTTTGTATAGCACTATAATGCTCATTTTCCCAGCATCATAGCACTCTCTCAAACATTATAGATGCTCCCAGACAGAGAGCACAACACAACATCACTCCCCAAAATATCACCCCTACATAGAGGGAAGCACCATCGTGTTGCCATGCACAACGCCGCAGCACTCCCAAAAAATATCTATCAGTTATAGGGGGCTCGCTCACCCAAAAGAATAGAAGAATCATTTAGCTTAAGTAGAATATTAGCTTCTAAATCAAGATCAAGTAAAATACTTTCTTTCATATCCATATACTATTATAATATCCAAACAACCATTACGCCCAACTATTGGGAGAAAAAAAAAATGATGTTCTTTCCATTGCTAGATTTCATCTATTGTTACCTTCTTAGTTATTACAGATTGTGTCAACTTAGCAAGATCAAATAAAAAATGAAGATTTGTAAAACTAACTCAAAATAGTTAGGGTAAGGATAATGATTATGATCTTGTTCTTCTTTTCATCTTCATTGAGTCTCGTAAGTTAATTTTTTAGAATTATTTTAATGATAGATGCTACTACCGCATGCTTTTGCACCATCCTTATACATCTTTAATAACATTCTCATTCTCTCCACAATCTAGTCACATTCAAGCCTGTGTATAATATAGTTGATGGTATTACCATATTGTAAAATTTACATTATGTTTCTACTTGTGTGATGCAAATTGAAAAATAAATAAATTTCAATGACAATATTATGCATTTTGAGGGTGCATGCATTTTTCTATTCAACATTTGATAGTATAATGTGAAATAATTTTCAATAAACTTGCATTATGTGCCAAGTTCATTCAGAAAACATCTTTCATATTTTCTTTAATTGCTGTATTCGGGATAAACTCTAATATTTTTGGTATTACCAATACAATTAAATGCATTACTAAACTTTTACCATTTGGAGATACAATGTCGTCATATAGATAAATTGGAAATTGTGTGATACTTTCTTTTTTTGCACCGATATGAATTATTTGGAAGGAAAGGAACTTTAAATGCTTTTAGAATAAAAGCTACAGAATATCAGATTTTTTTTTTTAGGGGACAGTTAGGGATAGAACATGGGAGCCGGGGGAGGAATTTTTTCGCTCAACCACTGAGCTGCCCCGCCCGTCCCCACATTATTTATTCTGCTGTAAGAATTCTAAAGGGAAGAAAACGACTAAAATCTTTAAATTGATGGAGTACTAGTGTACTACAACTTTCCAAATACTTGCAAAAAGCTATTTCTAGAATTATTTGTACCTTTCTTTTTTAAGTTTCTACTAGTTTTTATTTCCTGGTGAATAATTCTTTTTGTGTATCATTTTTTCCTTTTAATGAGATATGTTTCAACACTCCACTTTTACATTAAAAAAAAGGAGGAAAGAAAATCATGACTATATGAATAAATTAAACCTTTTTCTGCCAAGTGCTTGGATTGCCAACTAGGTCGGTAGCATCATGAAACCTATCCTTCTATATTTTTTCTTTTTTTAGATGGTCATGTTACCTTTAACTTTGTGTATACATGCATGCTATAATGTTATTATCTATAAGGTTTTTTATGATTTAAGCTTCGTTTTCACCTACGTGTTATACTGATAGGTGGGATGATGTCACTATCTGTGAAGGCAAAAACTGTTGATACGGTAAAATGTGAAGTGGTCGATGGTGGAAAACTTAAATCAAGACGTCATTTAAATGTTAGAGGAAAAAGTGCTACCTTGCCTTCTATAACAGGTCTGAACATTTTGCTTAGAATATGCAAATGGAAAATTTATACGTGTTTTTTAATCTGGTTAAGTCACTGTCTCTGTATTGATAAAATATTATGCTCTGACAGAAAAGGACTGGGAAGATATCAAATTCGGGGTGGATAACAAAATTGATTTCTATGCATTATCATTTGTCAAAGATGCGAAAATTGTCTGCGAACTAAAAGATTACCTTAAAAGTAAGGTTTCAATCAATCCCTGTTCTATTAATATATATACATATTTTTTGTCTTAAATTATGATTCTAATTTTTTTTCTCTTACATCTTGAAATTTCAGGTCGTCAAGCAGATATCAATGTAATCGTTAAGATTGAAAGTGCAGATTCAATACCAAACCTCGAATCTATTATATCTGCTTCTGACGGGGTATGAAAATTTTTGGACATGTAACTTTTCCATGCCTTAGTTTACAGCAGAAGATTTTATTTGCCAAAGTAGCACTCATGATCTTAATGCTATTACCTACCCGCTTCTTTTTAAGTTTGTACTGAATGTAGCTGCAATAATTGATGCAGCTGAAAGAGCAATGTTTAGCGATACAAAATTAAACTCTTTTATATAAGCAGTATTAGCTGAACTTACGATCAAATATATCTTGCCTCTCAAGCGCTATTGTCGATTATGAAGTTATTGAGTAGTGTAATTCTTTGTTCATGAAGTCATATTTTTTAGTATATTTTTTGCTTTACTTCTCAAATTAGAACATGTGGAGACATTCTCTGGAAAATGTGATGTAGAATGTGTGTATAGGCAAATGTTGTGGATCAGAAAATTACACATGCATAGAAAAAGCTTTGAAATTAATCAACTTCTTATGTTCTTAGCAAAGATTTAAGCCAACATAACGGTGATTAATATCAAGTAATCAATTACATAATAATGTTAGGAGCACAAAATAATCAAATCAAATCATATCATGCTAATGTGCGGTTTTTAAAGAAAATCCCTAACTCAACAATTAGAATAGTCAATATGAAAGATCCACTCACTCACACTCTTAATACGGTTTAAGCGGATAAGTTTTCATAATTAAACGATGCCATGATTGAGAGAGTTGAAGATATAGGGTTAGGGAAAGACTTCACCATTCTCGTGTTCTTGATATTGGTTCCGTCGCTTCTGTGGGCTCTGAAAATTCGGCCCCGGCCTCCCTCGTTGCTTTTCGGGGGTGTTTTAACGTAATTAAGTTTCGGGGTAAATTTTGAGAAGGCAGATGGGTTTGTTGATAAGACACTAACCAGAGATTTCACCCTCATTTGGTGAGGACTTTATGATATGAGTTCTGGTTTCCTATAGGCGCAAGCCCCTATAGTTAATTACCCCTCCCGATAACGAAAGAGAACTTTTGATTAAGGCTAGTCGTTGATCAGATACGTAAAGATACTTGTTATCTGGCATATAGTAGCAGCATTGGGCTTTGGTATCAGAAATTTTGATATTTAAAATTGAAATTTCCACCATCTTGCACTTAAAGCAAATGGTGGAGGAATAGATAATTTACTCGATTAAGATCCCATGGTTCCGTCGTCCCGGGCCTTCGTGGTCCCTGATATACTTAGTCATAAGAGGTAGTCGACCCAACCTGACAGAAGGATCCTTGTCGGCAGCCATGAGTTGCTTCGTCCAAGGGTACCTTGTAGACCTAGGGTGAGCTATATGTGAGTTATCATGTTTATTGCAAAATCTCTTGTTCTTTCTCGTAAGGAAGCTATTGTGTTCGTTACAGGTTTCCTGTTTTTTTCCTATAGGCGAGCTATAATATTTATTACTAGTACCCTATTCTTGCTCGTAAGCAAGTTGTGATGTTCATTTCAAGTTCCATGTCCTTGCCCATAGGCGGACTATCACGTTTAAAGATTTTGGATCGACCCACCTCCTCTATAAGGTATTAGTGCTTTAATAGCCAACCCATATTTATTATAGTATTGATAGCCAGCTTCCCTTGCTTACATTCAAATACCATATTTATCATCTATCAGTCTTATCAGTTTCCACTCATCAGTAATCTCATCAATCATCTCTTCAGTCATATGTCACACATTAGTCTTCTTAGTTTATCAATTTATCAATACATACTTATCATATTACTCATCAGTTTTATTTGGTATTAGTCATTAGTCTTATCAATCGATCCATATCTATCCCATCCATCTCATATAGCACATTAATTCATTTACTTTGCTTGTTCTATATGCATTACATATCATGTATATCAAAATGATGGGTATTTTGTTCACATCATATACAATTATCATAATATATAGATCTATCCCATGTGCCCATCACTATGTATGTATTATGTCATGTATGTCATGCTATATGAATAGTAATCATATGCACATCATATAACTCATATTCATGTTTAGTATATTAGCAACTATTTTTCTTGTATATAACATTTCCTTACTCATTTCAATCAAAATGTTATATAAACCAAACCACTTGGTGAAATTTTAATATTAATCAAGCAAAATATTTAGAATAATGAGATCTATTACATATCAAAAGTTATATGGTGAAAGTTCTCTAAAATGGAAGATATCAAAATTTTATCACTTTTAGGAGAGATAAATATACTAAACTCAAAATAATTGAAAACAAATGTAGAGAAGATGTCATTTATAATGATCATAACACTTTTTATATTAGAAGCAACTAATGAAGAAGCCCTGAAAGACCTCTTTCTTCTCTCTCCCCTCCTCTCTCTCCCTTCTCTTCTCCTTCTCCTTTCTTTTCTTTCCCCGACAAAGCAATGAAATGAGGGGAAATGACTTGGATAAAATGGATTGAGGTATTTTAATATTTAATATCCACCATTCTAACATAGCTCTGCAGCACTCAACTTCCCGGTGCCGCTGTGCTCCCAACGTATCTTCTAGATTTTTCCAAAATATCCTCACCTTTAACCCAGCGCCGCATCGCTCACTCAAATCCTTTTTTTTTCTCCAAAAACCCTAGAGCTTAATGCCAGGGCGCTGCCAACCCCGACACAGTAGCACTCACAGAGCAATTTTTTTAAACATGAAATTTGGGCTATTACAACCCCCTCTAATTAAGTTGATTAGAGATCATGACGACCCGATAAGACGGAATCCTGAGATCTTAATTGGGTTTGTCGTCATTCCCTTTGTCATCTACTTTTAGTGAAAGGGTGGTAAATTTTTAATTATAATCTTAAATATCTAAAATTGTTGCTACTATATGATGTGTATTAAGTGCTTATTTAATGACTCGTCTTGATCAAAAGTACTCTCTCGTCATTTTATAGAGTAATTGACTACAGGGGCTTGCACCTATAGGACACATAAATGAAGATCTTAAAGTCTTCACTAAATGAGGGCAAAATATGTGAGCGTCTTATCTTTTAACCAATTTGCCTTAGGAAAACTTTCTATGAAATTTAATTCATTAAAACTCTCCCTAAATTACGCGGAGAGGCTGGGGCACCCAAAAGCAAAATTTTTGGAGCCCATAGACTTGTAACCACAACTTACTTCTACCAAAGAGGCATAAAAACCTCAAAGTATCCTTTCAAAAAAAACAAAGTCTTTCAATAATTTGACAGTATAGTTGTTTTTTATTGTCACCTGAAGTTACCTGAGCCACTTCCATAAACTTTGAATTTAGATTCAAAACTTTTACCTCTAGTCCCTAATGCCAGATGCTTTATTTCTTTTAGAGAGGGGGTGACTAAACTTTTGTAGTGACCCATCATTAACTTCAATGAGTAAATACATAGAACAGAGGTACTCAATAGATACTTGGAAGAGTACACAGTTGACACTTAAAATTCATTCTTAAAACACACATTTTAAATCCTAAAGAAAAAAAGACTTCGGTGCAAAGCGCAGTTAAAATATAGGCGTCGCTAGCTTCAAGCATAATTGAGTGCACGCTCCTAAGATAATTGACTGCACAAGAATTGAAACCCACAAACCTTGATCTGATATTGTCTTGTTAAGAAACATAGGGGCCTTACAATACACAGTTTTATTGTCATCATTTGAAGGACTCATATTCTTCTTTTTTCTAAGGTATTTGAATAAAAAAAAATTGATCACATACTTTGGTGATGCAAGCATTTCAAAAAAACACTTCTTTCTGTAAATAGAAAACTATTTGAGAAAGCAACAAATTAACTTATCTTCCTTGGGTAGTCAATTTTTGTTGTTAATATCTTTTTTTGCAGGCAATGGTGGCTCGTGGTGACCTTGGAGCAGAACTTCCAATAGAAGAAGTTCCACTGCTGCAGGTAAAAGTTTTAGAATATGCATTAAACAGTAAAAAATTGAAGTATTATATTTTTCCAATAAGTGGTTGTGACATTGACAAATTTTTCTCATGAAATGGTACTTTTTAATCAATCTTTCTCCATACTAAAAAAAAAAAAAAATCTTTCTCCATGCTAAACTAGTGTCTTTGTTTTAATCAATCTTTTCGCCTTTAATTAGCGAAAATCCCTAACTTTTTTCATATGGTTTTTAGTTTGATCATGATATTGTCCTTGTGTGTTGAATTAATGTTGTTCTTGGTGACTTGGTGGATAGAATCAAACCATAAAAATTCTTTTGATTCATAACCAGGTAACGAAAGATTTGTTTATATATTAAAATATATGGCCTTTGTTAGCCTGTATTCTATTATCGACCAAAACATTTGCTATCTTCTATTACGAGAAACAATTAAATTGTTCATTCTACTTTTACTCCAGCTACTTGATAAGTGTCTTTCAACTCATTTATCAGGAGGAGATCATTAAAAGGTGCCGCAGCTTGCAGAAGCCTGTAATTGTTGCAACCAACATGTTGGAGAGCATGATTAGCCATCCAACTCCAACTAGAGCAGAAGTTTCTGATATAGCAATTGCTGTGCGTGAAAGTGCTGATGCCATTATGCTCTCTGGTGAAACAGCCAACGGGAGGTTGGTCTATTTGAAAATTTATTACTATTAATATTATTATTATTATTATTATTATTATTATCTTCCCTCATTGGAATTTTTAAAATTAATATTTTGGAGTATTGAAGGGAATATGACTCCACTGGTGCATAACTCAGACCACTGGTGCATAACTCAGATTGTTGCGCTTAAGGAGTTCTAGTTTTTTGAGTCATGATCTACAAGAACTTTTACAGGTCATATCTTTCTAAAATAATTAAGGCTTCGTTTGAGACGGCTTTCATACTGCTTCTTAAAACAGTTTTCTAGTACAAAAGTTAAAATTTTTGTACTTGAAAGCTGCTTTAAAAAGTAATAAAAAAGCCGTCCCGAATGAAACCTAAATAATTTTGTGCATAAAGGAGGGATTTCCATGTTGGTGGAAAAAAAAAAAAAGCCAAACGTTTGTTATGATTTTGTTCGGATATGCTTTTAGCTACTTAAAGTATAACATCAACGCACAGTTATATTTCTTTGAGGTAGTCCAAACAAACAAGCTTTTTTTTGGTGGTTTAGGTATCCTATAAAAGCAGTGAATGTGATGCACACCGTGGCATTGAGGACTGAATCAACACTTCTAACAAGCAAACTTCATTCAAGTCTTTCAACAGCCTTCCAGGTATCTAAACTGTAACCTGCATTAAATATTACGTTCTTTCATTATTTATAAATTTTTATCTCAACAATTCTGAGTTAAATTGTTTAGAGGTCCACTTCATAGTGATAAGAACTTTTTTCTGCATCATATTTGTATTTCTTAAACCATTCTTGCTTTTCCTAAGGCTGCTCCTGGCGAGGAGCTTTGTCCGAGCCATTTGAGTGCAATGCTTGCCTCACATGCCACCACTATGGCCAACAATATTGGAAGTTCTACCGTTGTTTTCACTAGAACTGGTTCCATGGCTGTGCTTCTTAGTCACTGTCGACCATCCTCAACTATATTTGCATTTACGGATGAGTAAGTTCTTACTATTTAAATGTACTATGAGCTGCAGCTTTTATGAAAAAAGTTGGATTTTTTTTATGAAAAATGATACATTAGGTGTTAACTATGCACTTCTATTTAGGGTAAGGATTAAGCAAAGGCTGGCACTTTATCATGGAGTATTACCTATTTATATGAAGTTTTCTGATGATGCTGAAGAGACCTTCTCTAGAGCAATAAACTGCTTATTGGTATACATCTGAGCTTAATGCCGATTTGCTTGTTCCAGCTTTCACTTTTTTCTTAGCGGTTCTAATTTGTATTGGGTTGTTTTTATTTGCAGAAGGGTGGATTCCTGAAGAGCGGAGAGTATGTTACATTTGTTCAGAGTGGAACTCGCCCAATATGGCGAAATGAGTTCACACATCATGTTCAAGTCCGAAAGGTTTGAGGATGACATGTATTCCCCTAGAGCAGGCCCTTTTTTTTTAACTAAGGCTTAGTTTGGGACGTCTTTCTCACTGCTTCTTAAAACAATTTTTTAATTGTGCTTAAAAGCTGTTTTAAAAAGCTTTAAGAAAGTTGTCTCAAACGAAAGCCTAAATTTGCTCCCAGCTTAAGATTATTTTTTGAGTTTTCAGAGAAGATGTATTTTTTTTTTCTTTTCATTTGAATGCTTATGTAGACTAAATATATGACTGTTCTTAAGCAAGAAATAAATTGATTTTGACACCAACTAACTACTTTTGAAATAGAATTTATAAAACTACATCCTTTTTCTTTATATTACAGCCATTTGTGTTTTATTGTAATAGTTTTAGATGAGAAAATGCCTGACAAATCAATCCCTTTTTGGTTTTGCAATGATCGGCCGATTATTTGGTTATTTCCCTCACTTGTTATGTTTTGAAATGTTTGTACCAGCGTTGATTAAGAAGAAGATTGAATGTTCTTGATGGGTTACTGGGCTAGTAATGTCATTAGTTCTTATAGGTTTCGTTTGGGACGATTTTCTTGTTGCTTCTCAAGCAGTTTTCTAGTATAAAATTTTTAATTTTTTACTAAAAAACTGCTTTAAGAAGCAACAAAAAAACCGTCCCAAATGAAGCCATAGTTTGCCACAACAAAAGCAATTCCCTTACTTTCATCCTGGGCTTGTTCCTTGTTCCTTTTGGCCTACCTACTAAGCTCCATTGATCCTTAGTTTCCACCACTGCAAAGTAAACAGACAGGCATAGGACACAGTGTTGGGACCATGTCAGTATGAGTGGATGCCAGTCACAAACATGTTTGTCAAAGTAATTAATTTAGGCTTCATTTGGGACAGCTTTCTTACTGTTTCATAAAGCAATTTTTAGTACAAAAATAAAAAATTTAATACTAGAAAGCGCTTTAAGAAGCAAAAGGAAAACCGTCTCAAACGAAGCTTAATTGTGAACTTTAAAGCTGTGAAACTTCTAAAGTTGTTTCATTTCATTGCTATATACTTTCAGAAAACCTACATACTATATGGATAACATTTTAGAAGTCTTATTTACGTTGCAAAAACTTCAAAAATATTTGTTAGATATGGAGGGAGATATGCCAAGTGGAGCACTGAAAGAATAGTTGTGGATCCTTATTCTATTGTTAAATGATTTATGTCATGATTAAACGATAAATTTTACTCTAGTTGTTGACTACCTAACGTAACCCTTCTATTTGTTTGTCTATGCCCCATATTTGACTCGAATTTAGCTATAATTAGTTAAAAATTACTAAATATCAACTTTTCTTAAATAAATAATTGAAATCAAAATAAATATATGAAATTAAATTAAAAAAATTGCTTAAATTTTATGATTATTGATACGTCATCTCAAAATTATCTTGATCGGGCACGAATCTCAAGGCAAAAGCTAGTTGAAAACTTTAAAAATTAATTTCGGGAGCATATGAACTCCGATTTCAACGATCTTACAGTCAAACTGAGCGTCTCGGAAATATTAATATTTATTACTACATCCAGTTTAAAATTATTGAATCTTAAATCTCTCTTTTCTCTTTGATTTTTGTTTCTGTTCGTTGTTAAATGAATTATAATGGAAATGAAGTTTTTTATTAAATTTTGTAATTGCTTTGAGATATTTATAATAAAATGTCATAAGGATATAAATTTAATTATTCTATTTATTTCACTTTTAGCATAAAAATTTAATAAATTTTTTAATATTTTCAAATCCATTGCTCAAAAAATTATAGAAAAGTATTTATAAAACAGTCTAGCATATCTAGAAGCTCTTATGAAATCGGTTTGTTAAACGAACTCATAACAGTTTAAAAAGAAAACAAACCCATATGTATCGACAAGTATCAATTTTCACGCTACTTCTAAAATTAGAAAAAAAATATATATTATAATTAAAATATAACAATATAAATATTATGGTGAAGGCAATTTATAAATCAAACCTATAATGACTCTTTAAAAAATATTTGACTAGTTTAAATTATTCATCAAGCATACTTATTTACTTACAACAATTCTATTTGTCTTAGCCTGATTATATTGATATAGTTGGTTATTAATATATTATTAAAAAATTATCTTGATCGAGCATGAATCTTGAGGCAAAATCAAGTTGGAAACTTCAAAAATTAAATCTGGGACCATGTAAACTTTGATTTCAGTAAACTTACAGTTGAATTGAACGTCTCGAAAATACAAACCTAACGACACTAAATTCGACTCAATCCTTGCCCAAATGAGTCCAAATCAAAAGCCTGAAGCACATTTGGAAGTTTTAAACCATGATTTGGATTAACAATGGTTTCCAAATGGGACATGCTTATATTCAAATTGAGTGGCTCGACGAGACGAATCTAATGAGCCCAATATCGTTAAATTTTGATATTATTAAAATATTCAAATTCCTAGTAAACGATCCATGATCAGGGATCAATATCGACCGTCTATTCAAACCACTCCCATTTTGCCCTTAATCTACTCATTATTTACTAGTCATGCCACTATAAAAAATTATAAATAGACTATTTATTCTTCATTAAAAGAGGACCCAAACAAGGAAGAGAAGGAATAGAGCCCTCTTACCACCAGACTTCTCCTCAATCATCGTCGGACTTCCACCCTGCCGTCGACTGAAGTCGGACTTCTGCTCGGCCATTGACGAATGCCAGACTTTTTCACGACTACCGATTGACGTCGGATTTACACTTGGATGTCAACTGACGCCAAACTTCTCTGCGGCCACCAACAGACGTTAGATTTCTTCCCGACCGCCAACCGATGACATACTTTTGCTAGACCATCGATTGATGTCGGACTTCTTCTTAGTCACCAACTGACATTTGACTTTTGCCTCGCCACCGACTACGGTCCTTCCGACCTCCGTTGACACACAACTATCTTTCCAACCTCCGTCACTTGCTGAATACGATCTTTCTGACCTCCATCGTCAAACAACGATCATTTCAAACTCTATCACCATATTATGGTCTTTCCAACCACCGTTGCCTGTCAACTAGGATCCGTCTAACCTTCATCGAAAGATAATGATCTTTATGACATTCGCCACTTCCAACTACTAGGGTCATGCAGACCAAACAAACATATTAATACTGATTTTTCCTATTTCCATCATATAATGCATTCTATATGATATATATTTATTACACCAAGTCAAGACCTTCCCTCCAATGAAGGGCCTCATTTGTAATCAACTGCAAATACTAGTAAATTTATTCAAATTGAGTTAGACCCCGTAGTTTTTCTACTTTTTAGAATTTTCCATGTAAAAATATTGGTGTCTCTTATAAATAATGTACCCTATCTTTTTATATGATTGTGTGCTGGATCTTCGTACAAAGCTAAGACATTAAACTTTATATTTCTCTAACGTCGCAAATATTTCAGGACACGACAATTATGAAAGTACTCTAGAAAGTAATTATGAAAACTATTATGAATATGATAATTAGAATTTTTAACCATATTAAAAATTAATATTTTTTGAAATATCTAATAGTGACATTTTAAAAATGGTCGACACAACCGCGGTTTAATCCGAAACTTTTATTTTCGATTTAAGATTTCATTTAGGATATTTTTTTTATTTTTTAAAATAAAATTTTAATATAAAAATTATTTAAATTAAATTTTTTTAATTAAACAATTATTTTAGAAAACAGTAAAACAACCCTTGCCCTAGCTTGAGAGAATCCCGGCTCCCTCTCCCGATCCCGCCTCGGTCTCCCAGGCTCGGCTCCCTCTCCCAGCAGTAACCCAAGCTCGAATGAACGCTGCAGCCAGCTCCTCTTCATCGATCGAGTGTGTACGCGGACGCATCAACCAGCAAGCTCGACTCAATCGTCCCGTGCCCTAGATCGTGCGAACAGTTTCTTCTCTTCTTCCATCGAGCTCCTACAAGAGACGGCTGACCGTCCACCGCGTGTACGCCGCAGCCGACCTCTCACTGTGCCTCCCTCACCCTAGCTCAATCAAAACTGCGACGAAACAGTGAGGTAATAACAATTACTAGCTTATTTGATGTCGTTTTTTTTTTCAGTTCAGAAGCGTGTTTCAGAAGTGTTTTTCATTGTTCATTATTTATATTTATTCAATTTAGCCTATTATTCTATCCACCAAATAGTTAATGAACTGAAAAAGCCTGACTTGTCCCTAATTAAATGACAACCACAAGAGAAAGGTCAACTTTACAGCAACCGACCATTTGGTGGTAGCTGAAATTATTTGTGATAATTATTGCTCATTTCTAGTTTTATTTTAAGTCAACTATTTCAAAATTGCATGTCATGGATTAGTTTTATGTGGTTGTAATTAATCGATTATAGTTAGTCAAATAATTATTTGAATATGCTGTCATCAATCGATTAAATTATTTAGTCAACAATCTATATGCTAACTACTTGGCTATTGAATTTTCATAATAAGAAAATTTTGTTGTTTTTGTTGTGTGAGGGAGAGGCCATAGGTGATGATTACTACTGCAAAATCAATCAAAAGAAAAATGAGGTTAGTATATGGAGAATTATGTGGGTTGAAATAGTTTTGGAATGAAGGTAAAGGGCATGAGTAGACAGCTTTTCATTTACTTGAATAAGAAGTTGTTTGTGATGAAAAAAAAAATCCTACTTTAATTTTGATGTACATTTTTTGTGGTGTTTAGATTTGACCAAAACTGATATGTACAAATAAAGAGCTATCAAGATCTTGTTATGGTTGATTTGGGCTAACAACAAACTCCAATCAATTTGTTCTAGTTCATTGTTTGATAGAAATTATATTCCATTATATGCCTAAATTTTTTTAGAACATTCTTCTATACAATCTGAATGAATATTTATTCTAGCCAATGATTTCAAAGTTTATTTTCCTCTAGATATGGACAAGAGCTAGATTACAAAAGCTAAATCGAGTCGTTATTTCATAAATGGTGTTAATAATTTTCTAGAGTTTGCAAGTACAAGCTAGAATTCATATGGAAAGATTTTATGTCCCCGCTAATCATGCATTAATAGGTACTACTTCCATTCAATGATAGATGTTAGAGATCACTTAATCTGTAAAGAATTTTTTCTTGGATATATTGTATGGAATCAACATGCGGAAGAACATTACAATGTAGGTGAAAGTGCAACAAATGAAACATTTCATGTTACATCGAATTTAGAGGATGCAACTGTTCATACTGAGCATGTGAACATAGGTGATATAGAAGAATTATTAAGAGACACATTTTGTCCAAATAATGCGACCATAAATTTAATGGATGAATAGAATGAGGTCAATGTTGATCAACTGAATGGTGATGTTGAAGAATTTACAAAATTTATGCATGATATACGAACAGAATTGTACCATGGGTGTAAGTCATTCTCAAAACCATCTTTAATCACGCACTTATTTCATTTGAAGTGTTTATGTTCTTGGACTTCAAGATATTTAACATGTTGCTGGACCTATTTGATTGTTGCTTTTTCCGAAGGAGCATTGTTGTTTAAGAATACATATGAAGTGAAGAAGATAATGAAAGCATTTAATCATAGATATACAAAGATTGATGCATGTCCTAATGAATGCATGTTGTTTTGTAAAGATAACCCCAATCAATAGGTATATCACATTTGTGGAGTATCAAGATGGTCAAGTACTAAGAAGAGATCTATTAAATGAAAAAAATTATATGAAGTCAACCAAAATTATTCGATATTTCTCATTAATTCATAGATTGCAAAGATTATTCAAATAAAGAAATCTACTGAGGAAATGATTTTGCATGTAAAGCCTAGAAATGTAGATGGCTTACTACGTCATCCTGCTGATGGAGAAGCGTGGATATCTTTTAACTTGCGATACTCTGATTTCGCAAATGATCCATGTAATGTTCACCTTGCTTTATCTACGGATGGCTTCAATCTTTTCAAGATTATGAGTAGTACGCACAGTGTTTGGCACGTACTTTTAGTTCCATATATCATGCCGCCTTGGATTGGAATGAAGTAAAATTATTTCATTCTATCAACTATTATACCAGGGAGAAAAGTCCAGGGAATACTATTGACATTTATCTTCAACCACTGATTCAAGAGTTATATAAATTATGGCATTTAATTCAATGCTACGGTGCTATAACTAAGCAAACTTTTAACATGTTTGCTGCATTAATGTGGACTATAATGATTTCCCTGCATATGACATGTTATCTGGGTAGAGCACAAAAGGGATATTTTCTTGCCCTTGTTGCTTAGAAAATAAAGAATATCTATGGCTATATAAGGGTAAGAAATTCACATATGTGAGTCATCGACGTTGGCTGCCACATGATCATATTTTTTGCCATAAAAAACATCACTTCGATAACTCATAAGAAGTCCAAAATGAGCCTAAAAGGAAAAGTGGCATTGAAATTCTATCTAATTTAAAGAAGATGCAGTTCTCTACTAGCAAATTTACTAAAGTTGGGTTGAAAAGAGTTCATAATGTACAACCGCCTGAGGGATGGAAGAAGAAGTCTATTTCTTATGACCTACCTTATTTGGAGTATAACTTATTGACACATAACCTGGATGTTATGCATACCGGGAAAAATATTTATGATAATTTTATTGCTACTTTTTTTGACCTAGATAAGTCCAAAGATAATTTACATGCACGACAAGATCTGGTTGATATTGGAATAAAAAGCGTCACAGATTCTTAAATTGCCTAAAGGATATGCATCAAATATATCGAGATGTGTCAACGTAGTTGAATGTAAAGTGATTGGCCTTAAAAACCATGATTGTCATGTTCTTATAGAGGAGATTCTGCCATTGCTTTTGGATCAAGTGCAACATCAAATGAGGCAATGCACATTCTTGTAGAGATATCACATTTCTTGAAATCAATTTATGCAAATGTTATCATTCCAAATGAATTGGAGATGTTGCAAAATAAAATTATAATGACTTTCTGCTAGATGAAAAAATCATTCTTTCCATTATTCTTCACGATTATGGTTCATTTACTTATATGTTTGGCAGAAGAAGTCAAATTAGGTGGTTTTGTTCAATAACAGTGGATCTACCATTTGAAAAATTAATCATGATTACAAAATATCATGAGAAAAATATGATTAAATGATATATAATCCCACTTAACACACGTTCATTCATAAAATTTCACTAAAAACTTTTAAAATATATACATAAATGAGGATATAAGTACAGTTTGTCTTAACAGTTGACTCAGCAAAACTCTAATCTTTATTTACTAAACTATTACAAAAAAATCAAAATAAAAAAATAGTATAACAAAAAATAATTACAAAATTAAGATTAGAATTATAAATTACAATATGTTAATTATAATGAAAAATAATTATAACTACTTGAAGTAAAATAAAATAAAATTATGCTAATTAAAAATTAATCATGAAATTAACCTAATTTCAATGCTATCTCTAAAGAGAACGAAAAGATAAAAGATAGAATTCAACTGAATTTCATTATTATTTATAGAAATCCAAGCCTAGGATGCTTCTCCCTTATCTTCCAACCAAGCTTTGATCACCCAACTAAGCTTTGAATACCCATGAATTATGGAATTTTTTAGTACACTTTCAAAGCAGATAATGCAAAAGAACGATGCTAATTCTTCTTAATTAAAATGAACACATGATCCTTCTCAAATTTTTTCTACCACAAACAAATCTATTAAGAGCAACTATGCCTCCAATAATATATACTATTTAAGTATCGATTTTTTTTAGAAAAAAATTATCATTTTTTTGCGAGTTTGATGCATCCACAAATTCACTAAGGTATACAAACAATTATTCATGAGCTATGCAGAGAAGAAAGATAGGTGATAAGCTAAAGTTATGCAGAGAAGAAAGATAGGTGATAAGCTAAAGTTAATATAAGTAGAAAATGTGCAAAAAACTTTGCACAAAATATTGTTGATGATTGATAGAGCCAAATCATAAATAGGTGGGATAATGCTAATGGTGATGAAGATCAATTCTTCAAATATGCATTATAGTTAGGCGAACCAAGCAATCCAAAATGAATTCTATGAATCTAAAAGTAGTATAGATCGACATAAAAAAAGAGAAGCCCATGACTTGTAAGATACAAAACTAGCAAAGAATAAAAAAGATTAACTAATAGCAAATTTTTTTGAATCAATTTGACATTCATAACTGATAACTAATGATAGATAGTAGTTAGTGACAGAAGACGACAAGTGGCATTGAGTTATGAAAAGCATCATTAACAAACATACTTTCCCACAAATTTAAAGCCTCTCAACATATTTTCGTAGAATAACTCAATCATTCTTTCTCTTCTTCTATTAATATTCTAAATAAATATGCTAAGAGGCTTTACATTTGCACGATCAGAGAACACGTGCCACGTCCCTGCTAGCAAGAGTTTATTTGAGGATGAATCTTAGTGATACACCTGACATGACATTCGCTCTTTATTAATTGAGGTTAATTTTAAATTTATCATCCCGACAAACGGTTGCGGAAAGTGGATGGGTTTTAATTTTAAGTTTTTGTGATTAGATTTTGAAGTTCTTATATGCTTTTGAGAATTGATCCCATCCGGTTGAAATTTACTATCAACGCGGCCATCATTGGGGATTTAACGAATCGCTTTAAAAGATTTGCAATTTAGATGTTCAGTTCAAGTTATGTTAATTCCAATCCTTTCAAGGAGGATGATGGAACTTGAATATTTGACCCACACAACATTCTCAGACATGGGTGTTAGCAATTTTAGCACAGTTGTCGAAGTATGCAGATGTATTTTCAGCAATATATTGGAGTTGTTGTAGAGGCACTTGAATATTTTTCACAAATCCATGACGTATTCTCCCTATTTGGTTTACGTTCATGTAATATTTCTCTTTAGCTGTAAGACCTTCCAATCATCGTCTATACAAATTTCATCATCAAGGCTTCTCTGGAGGTTTAGTAATGCTTGGTGTTCCGCTGGCATTCAAGTCCAACAAA